GCTGGGGGAAAGGAAGTCTTCATCCACATCTGGCCTGGTCTAGTTTGAGCCTTAATGAGCCAGAAGTGCGGCCCACATCCTTGACAAGCAGGGGCAACTTGGAATCCACCGTTTGAGAAGAGGCAAGTGTTGAGACCCCTGGCCACGGATATGCCCATTACGAGCACCACCATCCAGTAAACTAGAGACCTACAGTTTGCACGTCTTTGGGCCACACACCCTCTTTCGCCCGGAGTGGCGCGTAAATTTGGGCACGAAGCTCCGACGAAGCTCCCAATCCCATTTCAACTGCCGGAATCGCAGCGCGTTCAAACAGCTCAACTCTTCAAAAGTTGTGCGTTCCACAGCTCAGAATGGACTCGTCCCGGAGCGGGGAGACAGTTGATGTCAAGAGTCCCCGCTCGAGAGACGAGCAACAGAACTAACATCCAGTTCGGTGCAAGTATGTTCCTGAACTGAACATCTGCGAACAGGACTGCAAGTGCAGAACCCATCAGAATCCCAAACCACCCTTCCAACAGGTGGCACTGTTAGAGCCTTTAAACAGTGTTTTGTTCTTCAGGGCATCAGTGGTCAGCGACGTTTCGCCGTGTGGGCGACGTTTTGCACCAGAGGAGCCCAACTATGATGCGGCCATGGAACAGCAACTTGGCAGGTCGGAATTTTCACCTCTCCAAGTCCAGTGGAAAGGCGTACCCTTCCTCCAACCAACATGGAATGATTTTTTGTAGAGGAAAGACCCCATGTTCCACGGAAACGTCATTGTTGCAGGATGTTGCAGGGAGTGTAAACAGAAAACCGTTCAGTTCAGCATGGAGTTAAAGCATGTTTAAACCAAAAACAAGCCTGCGTGGTACAAGGGGGTGGCCCGGGGTGGCTGCACATCTGGAGCCATCCCTTTTGGATGTGCTTTATTTCTTTAGATTTAGGTCCATGGGTTTATTTAAGGCACCAAGGACGCACCAAAGATGCAATGTATTCACCTGCCCTGGACAAAAACTTACGACGCAACTTGTCAGGCAACGGTCGGCTGGGTTTTTGGAGTTTGGCGCTCTCGTCAGCACCTATTAAAGTTCCCAAGCATAAAGCTACCGTATGTGGCAAGGAAGGCTGGCCCAAAGAACCTCTGGGGTGTATCCTCCCGTGTTGCAGTGTCTTGGTTTTGCGACACGGGTGATGTTGATTCTCATGGATTTTCATAGGCCTTTCTTTGGGTGACTCCCCGAAACGGAGGAACCTTATATAGTTTGTTTCCCGGCTTCCGAATCAGCCAATCCAAAGGAGTCTCTCCCAAGGCGCGCATTTCAGGCATGACCTGTGACCCTCCAAGAGAATCTCCCTTTGTTAAAAATACCTATCATTGGAGAGAGCCTGTTTTCAACATTTAAGTCCCAAAAGTCAAAGCCCTCAAAAAGTCAAATCAGAAAGTTTCAGAACGTAAAAGCACGTCAATTTGCACAGATCCAAAATTTGTTTACTTTTGTTATTCTAATTTTGCATGTTCTTTCTTCTTTTTGACTTTTATTATTTGCAGTTTATTTGACTTTTTTATGTGTTTACTTTGATTGATTTTTGTTGATTTGTTTTTAATTTTTGACATTATTATTCGCATATTTTTTGTACGCTGTTGTTTGGGTCTTTTTTGATAGTTTGTTTTTGAATGTTTTTGACTTTCATTTGATTTGTTTTGACTTTTGTGTGACATGTTTTTGTTTTGTTTTGTTGTTGTTGTTGTTGTTGTTGTTGTTGTTGTTGTTTTTTAAACTTATTCGAGTTGTGAGTTGTGATTTATTTTTGACTGTGCCAGACTGTGCTTGATCTTTTTTTCGACTTTATTTTGACTTTTCCATGTGTTTTTTTACTTTGACTTTTCCAATCTTTTCCGTTTGATTTGTTCGATGTTTTTGTTTTTGGTGCTTTTGTTAATCAAGGGATCCTGGCCTTACCATATGAAGGAATCTTTGACTGATTCCCTTTGCTCTCCTCTCCTCTCCTCCCAGGATGCTGGGCATGGGCTTTCCATTCGAAGAGGCCAAGGCATCGCTGGAGGTCGGGAGACACCGCAGTCGTTGGCCACCTCAGACGGTCGGGCGGTTCAGATCCCAGCGTGGTTTGCATGGATGCCATGGGGGTCTCCGGCCAGACCAGACCAGACACCTGTTCTTTTGGGTTCGATTTCTGCCAGGCGCATGGCTGGGACGTGCAGCGGGCGTCGATGGCGATGATCGAACGGCAGCAGAGCCAGCGGAGTTTGCGGAGTGTGATGATGGACATCCAGGCGTTTACACCTAATAGGACTGGCGTTTTGACGGGTGGGACCGACCAGCTGGGGTTGTTCATTTGGCCAAGCTGGTCATGTTTGGATGATGGCAACGATTCCAGAGGGTCATCATGGGTCATGATGACGAACTCTCGCCCTCCCCATGCACGGACGCATTCGGTCCGTTCTGTGCTCCCCATTTGGATGGGAAACTTCTTCATATATATTGGGAGTTTTTGTTTCTATTTTTTAAATCAATGAACAGAACAGGGACTGATCACAAGGAGTCGTTTTTGGGCAGCTGCAGGGAGCCAAGGAACATCAACTGCCAAAAAGAAGTAACGAGGCCTTCACCAGCAAGCGATCAAAAGTCCACACTGGGTTGGGTGGTGCTTGCGGAGGGAACATGTTGGGAGTTGGTACTTTGTTTCAAATCTGGCAGACAGGCGGGCGTACGGTTTATGACATCAACACTTTTTCGGCCTATCTGGAAGACAGGCACCTCTTTCAATGAATGCAATCTTAATGGGAGCTTTGAGACAACCCTTTCGTGAGGAACAAACCCTTTGGTCACCTACAGCCCCCCGCAGAACTCCTACAGTTGGGGCAGACGGGTAGGTATGCCTTGAATCCTCAACAACTCATTGTTTTGTACTAATTAAGGATCCTTGATCCGACCTGATCCTACAAAAACCAGGTCAACCATTCTTATAGCATCGCGACCACATGTGTTTGCAGTTGGCTGTTCATGAAGGTTGAACACGCTTGAAACTCACCTTTCACGGAGCCCTTTTGTGCTTAGAAGAAAGAAGAGCGATTTTGCTTGAGTAGGTTATGAGCCCAACTGGCGCTTAAGGTGGTCAGTTTGGGTTCATTGTGTGGCGTTTTTTCTTTCCTGGCTGCCATGAGCGAGGGCGCAGCTTCCGAAAGGACACCGGAGTCCGCAGGGATCAAGGCGATCGAAGACGCCGGCCCTAATGATGGGCTGATGCGGCCAGCTGGCCCTCCGGTGGTTCTGGGGCCTGACTCCTGGAATCCTTTCTGGTCAGAAAAGATGCAGGACGAAGCGGTTTTGAGAGCTCTCAGACCGGTAGACCTTCCTGTAGAGTCCCCAGAGCTGTTGCCGGATCCTGGTATGTCACCACCAAAGGAGGGTGCAGAGGCCTTTCGAGCTTTCATCCAGAACATCATGTCAGAGAATGCCAGATTGTGGACGGAGCGTGAGGCATGGTCGCACGGGCAGTTTGGAAATGGGTGGGGTGGTCCTCATCAGCCGCCCATGTATGGTCAGCCACCTCCATGGTGGTCGGGCGCGATGCCGGATGCTTCGAGAGAGAGGAATCTGATGGGGTCATTGCTTGAGTCATTGAGGTCTTCCTGGGTGTCCCCCGGGCATGCTGGCAACAAGGGTTTGCTGGGGCCTTTGGCGAGCGGCCGAGATTGGGGAGGTCAAGGTGCGCTTCCAGGTCTTCATAATGATCCAGGAGTATGTCAAGGGCAATTTGGGGGCCCCAGAGCAAGTTTGATGGAGGTTTTCAATAGGGTGTCGTTGCGAAGCGGACTCACTACTTTTCACTTGAACCACAGGGGCTGTGCGTATTGGGCTCAAAACTATACAACAAGTGTTCCAACCTTGCCACTTAGGACAAAAGGTGTTTAAGGGAATTTCTTTCACCCCCCTTTGGAGCACTTGATTCACATTCTGCTTACCAGGGACGCTTTGCATCCGGGCATGTCACCAGAGAACAACAACCAAATCATCTCGAAGCGTTGTCACGTTGTGCCTATGCGTGTGCCCTTGTTTTCAAGCCTTGTGGTCTTGCTCGTTCGCGTTGCAGTTCCACAGATACTGAACCTCTTCAGTCTTGCCAGCCGTTTACCGAAGGGGAAAGTACCTGTCTTGATTATACAAAAGTACCTGAAGGTGTCAGAGCTGAGTTTCCAACTACGAAGTCCGACTCTAAGCTCGCAACTGTACTGTGTCATTGTTTCACATGCGGTGCGGTGTTTCCCGCCATTGTGTAGGCAGCGCCCTACGTCTACGCAAGATAGCTCCATTATGCTCTCGCAATGTCGTTTTCGACGCCATGAGTGGCTTCCACTTCTTGAAACAAACGCTTGAAACAACTCGCAATTTTGTTTGACGTACATGTTCTTCAAAACCTTTGTCGGTCAAGTCAATTACGCCTAATCCATCCAAGGATCCCAACATCTCATTAGCAGTAGCTAAATGCTTCGTCAGTGTGTTTGCTGGGTTTTGTTTCCCGTCAATTTTGCCAATAATGACTTGTTTTGTACGCACCAATTCCTGAATGTACATGTGTCCAACAGCAACATGTCTCATCTTACCTAGCCCTATGCGCTTGGCGGCTTGCAACGCGGCCGAAGAATCACACCAAACACGTGGTGTATCGATTTTCATCCCAAAATCTTCCTGGGCTAGATTTTTCACGTACACGCAACTTTGAGCACATCGCGCTAAAGATCGCGTCTCAGCCTCACCAGAACTGGTTGCAGGGACGCCGGGTTGCGTTGTGCTGTTTGTCTCAACCACTGTACCTGCCAACACAATTACCCCACCTGAACTGGACTTGCGGGTTTCTACGCATCCAGCCCAATCACTGTCGGTGTAAGCATGCAACGGCAATGGCTCACGGGGGTCTAAACCATCAACCAGTCTACTTACGTGTCCATAGTTCTTTGTTCCAATCAAATACCGTGCAAACATCTTCAAGTTCTGAAAATCACAACGCCTAGGTGCATGCAAACGTCGGGCCAACTCCTTCACTGCAAATTTCAAGTCTGCCCGGTCTTGACTTAGATAAATGCTCGCACCTACACACGATGCGTAGATTTCCTTTTCGGACTCTGAAAGAAGATCCATGCTACCTGCGCTGGTCAAATCAAGCTTTCTTCCTGGCAACACTCCTGCGTTTGCATCTTCCATCCCGAGTTTCCCCAAAATGTTTTGCACATGTTTGTCGTTTGGCTTGGTCACAACACAATGGTCAATTGTATACTTTTCCCGACCGAGGTACTCAGATGAAGTGCCAGATTCACCTTCCACGCCTTCAAGCTCGCCTACTTTCAGTTTACACCCAAATTTTGGAAGCTGGTTTTTCAGCAAATTGTTCACGGCTTCCTCTGGGCCACAAACATCGAAATCATCAATATGATGAATCAAAATGACCCCTGAAATCTTGCAGTGGTAAACGCATGCATCAATCCTACCACGCTGAAACTTGTACTTCGTGGGGTCGAGTTTGTTCAACAAAATGTTTTCCAACTCTTGCCTGTACGCAGCGGCAGCTGGCTGTCGCCCATAAATATTTCCATCTACTTGCCACACAATGTGTTGTTTCGGGACATTTGCCAAGTCCTGTTGCACTTTTGGGCTTTGCTTTGCTAACCAAGACTCGTAACCGTCCAACCATTCCTGAGGTGGTCTGAGGCAAGTGGGTTGGCCTTGGTCATCTCCACTGTCGCGGGCGATCAGGAAAGCACTGGTCAGATCAGCTTTCGCGCGCGGAAATTTGTTCAAGAGAGAATAAACTTCCAAAATTTTCAATGATGCTGGATGGGGTGTAGGGCAAAAATTGGACTGGCCCTCGGAACTCAACCGTTGCTCTGGGGTTTGCTTGCGCTTCACATCTGCACACGTGAGTCTACTCTTGGCTACCCCATTACTCTTTTTGTCAACCCAAACATGGTTGAAAACCCGAATGTTTGGTGGCAACGCGCGCCCGTCTCGAGGAGTAAATGCTTTGAATACCTCTTCCAGTTTTTCAATTTCCTGCAACCTTGCCATGTGCCTTTCTTCTGGTGACAAACACGTGTCCAAAAAATCCACAACATCTGCAATTACATTCTCATTCTCGCCTTCGACAAATTTGGTCAACAATTCGTCAGAAATCCCAGATATTTTGTGTCCACCGGTTTCGACCTCCATCCCCCCTTCGCCTGCGACGTCGCTTGGTGCGGTGTTACCCGCCTCACCCGGCAATTCCCGTGGCGGTGACCTACTCCTAACCGATGTGGCCGGAGTTGTGGGGCTTTTGGGGCTTGAAGGTACTGAACTGCGCCGGGGTGTGGCGATGTTGAAAGTTTCAGGTACCTGGCCTTGAGGCTGCGCGGGGAACATGCTCACATCCAGGTCCTCTTCTGCTCGTAGTTTGGGTTTCTTGCTTGTATTTCCTTCCCGACTGTGTGCGTCACGCGCTCCCACTCCTTGGCTTGGACCTGTGTCCGGCTGTTGCGCAACGACCCCTGGGGGCACCACCGGTACGAACTCGACACGCGGCTGGCTGACTACAAGTGCTGGTTGGACTTTCGAGCTGCCCGCCTTGGTGTTCCATGGCAGCCCTGCTGTGGACTCCAAACATTCAACACTGTGTCGTTGGTCTCCCGACAAGCGGCGTACAGTGCGGAAAGTGTGCGCGCCAGCGGGTGTCAACACTATGAACTCGTCAGACCCTTCCGATTTTCCCACGAACACCCCACGTACCCAACGCGGAACGCCTTTTGCTAGATCTTTCATGTTAGGCCACTTTGCTTGCACGCACTCGCCGAAAGGCAGCAGTTCACCAAAATAATCATGGCCCTTGATGATACGAAATGGTGTGGTCTTACTACTGTTCACATGCAACCGTGCCATTGACCATGCCACATGTCGGACAATCCATGGAAACAAACGGTGCGTGTTGCGAATGTCAACACCATACTGCTCAGAAAGCACGCTCACCCATGTCCTGACTCTACCTGCGACCTGTTGATTCACCGTTTCCCCGTCAGCTAGGGACTGGGATGAATAACGAGGGCTCTCTCGCAACTGCATTTTGTCATTTCCAATTTTCTTTTGCAAAGTCTTCGCCAATTTCAATATCACAGGTTCCTGATCGGTCTGAAGAGTAAACTGTTTCCAACCCAAATTCACCAACCAATTTTCCAAGGACTTCACGCCGTAGCTGTTGGGGTCATCCACTTTCTTTGATGGGATTGCAATTGCAAAAGGCCAACGCGAATCTTTGTCGATGGCAGTCAACACTGTCACAACATCGTTTCCATCAACGTCGCTCAGGGGTTCACCCTCTGTGACTAGAAGTTCCTCTCCTTTGCTTGTGAAGTACATGAAGTCAGCATACACAATGTGTTCATGTGTGTCGACATGGCTTTTGGTGTGAGGACGCTGTCTACCCTGTCCGGCTACGCAATGAGGACACCATGCTGCATATGTGGCGTGATGCAACTCATGCTCGGCGCGCTCTTCAGGAGACGGTGTGGGTGGAGAGGCCATGGGATGAACACATTCGCTCGAATCATGCTCCATGAGGTGTGCGTGTTCAACGTCATCATGTGCATGCGCATCCTGTGCGTCATCCATGTGTCCCGTGTTCATGTCATCCTTCAGTTTGAAGCAGGTTTCACCTACCCAATGATATGCCAATCTCCTGTGTGCACCTCCTTCATTGTCCCAAACATCTTCCAACACATCATCCCCACCAGCACCACCAACAAACGTCATGCGTGTCAACCTTCCATTCTCCAACTTTGACGGGTCAACAGGACAATCGCCGGTATCCAATGGGGTAAACAAGTTTCTTCGAGGGTGTTTGTGCACGCGGATCACCAACGGAGCCTCGGTGCGCCATTCGTCCATGCCTGCATCGCCTTGGTCTGCGTTTGCTGCGATTCTGTTGTCTGCTCCTTGGCTCCTCAAAGTTTGCACATCACGTTTTCTCACTCGCATCCACCAACGTTTCCCGAATTTGGTCAAAGGGTATCGTTTACCATTTTTGTACTCAAGGAAACTACCGGCCTTGCCAAACACAACCCTTTGCCATTCTTTACTCAATAGCTCATCTACGGCTAATACGTTTTCACTGGCATCCGTTACTGTCACCCGCATAGTTCCCCGCAAACCATCATCAAGTTCGATGCCTGGAAGTTGTTCACCATAAACCTTCAAAGCTACACCTTGGACTGAGTACAGTGTTTTCTTCTTGGATTCATCGATGGGCGCATCAAACTCACCTTCCGTGGCACATGTCACACAAGCACCTGAGTCAACCATAAACCATGCAAATTCATTGTTTTCTGACGGTTTGATTGCTGCAATCGTGTCGCGGACGGTCATGATCATGTCGGCACCCGGATCATCGAAGTAATCCCTAACAGATCCTACAGTCCTAGTGTCTCCATCGGCCTTGGGGCTAGGTTCTGGCTCCTCGCGCACCTCCGAGACCTTCCAGTGGCAATCGGCAGCTATGTGACCATATTTTTTGCAAATGTGGCACTGCTTGCCCGCATGGGGGTTGTTTCCTTTACCTTTGCCTTTGTCGCCTTTGTGCGTTTTACCTTTGCCAATTCCATCTTCATTAGCCTTGCCTTTTTGTTTGCCTTTGTCGCCTTTGCTGCTTGCATATCGTTGTTCCCATGTTGGTGTCGCTTGTGTTTGCCATGCCTGGCTCCATTGCTGTTGGTTCCCTTTACCTTTGCCTGGGTCACCTTTGTCAAACTTACCTTTACCTTTCCCTTTTGTCCCTTTTCCTTTGCCCTTGACGGCCCCAATGTCCATTGGAGCAGGTCCATTTGCTTCGTCCTTGGGCTTCAAACCTGTCACTGTGCCAAACTGTCCGCCTTGAGGTCTTTTCCACAGGTTCCGGGCACTCAAGTACTGTTCTATGTATGTTCGAACCTTGTTGTACGAATCCAAGGAATCAGCATGCATGAAAATGGACTGTTGGAGCTCTTTCGGTGCAACATGAACCAACACGGACAATTTTTCATCTTCATCAATGACTTTCTTGAACTGCCGTTCAAACTCACGAATTTCAGATTCCCATTGGTAGAACGCCTCACTCCACTTGCTCAACTCACTCGGGAAAGAAGGATTGGTCAAATGTTTCCTCCAAACCCATGACTTGGACTTGTACGCAGGCTCATGCGTCTTCACCAACCGGCGCCACATTTCAAGACCATTTCCTTCAGGAGCATGCTGGGCCATGCTCATGACGGAGTCCGGGGCGTATCCCATAAGGATCGTTAACAAAGCCCTACTCAAGCGAACCTCATGTGATGACAACGCGTCATGTTCTACAGGGTTTACTGAGGCTTCGGCTTTATCAAACAATCCTGGGTAAGCCACGTTCACTGTTGATGCCCATGCTACAAACACGTACTTCCAACGTTCCCAATTTTCACGTTTTCCATCAAACACAGGCGGCTTTGGAATGTTTCTGGAATCCACGACTTGTGATTCGTCCACTTGTGAACTGGCCGCTTTTGCGCTTAAAGCTGTGCTGAGTTCATTGCGAGTTGCTGTAAGAATTGCTCCCTGTTGTTCGTACGCTTGTTCTGCTCTTTGCAACGCTTGGTTCAAACCTGCCTGCTGTTTGGTCAACTGCTCTACTTGGGCTTGCAATCTTTGCACCACGTCCTCCATTGTGCACACAAGGAAACAAACAAATTAACACTGCTGGTGACTCGAAAAAAGGAAACTTTGTACACACTGCCAGAAAGAAAACTACAGGCACCTACGGAACTACGCTAAAGTGTCGGCACTCAAGCGGTATTCCCCGCAGATGAGGTTTCACCCCTGTCTCTCACTTCCTGGAGGTGTCGTGCTGGTACCAAGACGGTGTACGAGCGGCAGAGTTGTTGCAACCGATGGTTGGTGGCACTGTACTTCTGACGCTTGAAGTGCACCGGGAAGTTGGTGGACGGCTTGAACTGTACCTTGTTGTGGGTGGATGACTTCCTGAGACTGACTGGGCACAAACTGTGACTGTACCTGGTTGTTGTTTCCTTCTTGTCACGGTGTTTGGCTCAAGCCCCTCACTGGTCTCCTCACAGCTGCTTTCTCCTCTTTCCACCTCCTCGTGTTCACCGTGCACACGGTTGACTCCCAGCGTAGCAGTCACTGCACGACGCGCTTCTTCACACAAGTAACTGCGCCTCACTGACTTGCCTGGTGTTTTCTCAACTTCCGCGGCTACTGCTGGTAGATCTCGTCGGACACGTTCCCACACACGACGGTACACTCCTTCTGGTTGAGTAGTTGACGAAGGTAATGGACGCTTCAAACGAACTTGGTCTGCCAAAAAGTTGCGTACTGGTTGTGGCCACTACTAGACGAAGCTGCCTCGCTTTGGGCTTGGTAGTACTGGCTGAGGTTGGCTGGGCCAGGCAAGTTCCCAAAAGAAGGTGTCTCTTCCTCTCTTGTGTTTGGTGCCTGCAATTCCTTTTCCCAGCGCTTGGCGATCCCTTTCAGGATTCTCTTTTCAACTGCAGCGGCACTCCTTGTCCTGGTTTTGCCTCCGCCCTTGCCGGCAACTTTTCTCACGCTGCTCGACGTACTACACACGGGTTTTACCCGCCTACGACGCTGCGGTGTTACCCGCCTGCGGAAGCTGATCGGCCCTAGAGCTCGACCAGCTCCGCTACCATGCGAAGCGGACTCACTACTTTTCACTTGAACCACAGGGGCTGTGCGTATTGGGCTCAAAACTATACAACAAGTGTTCCAACCTTGCCACTTAGGACAAAAGGTGTTTAAGGGAATTTCTTTCAGTCGTCCACCTCGGGCGACATGGTGCATGGGATGCTTGAGGCGTCAAGAACCTTGGCACGACATGGCATGGGCAGCTCATGGTCAGATCCTTGGCCGCCGGGTGGGAAAGGTCAGAAGGGCTACGTGTCCGGGGAGCCGCCGGGTGGCACAGTCGGTGGACGTCGTGGTCCGGGACAAGGTCTATCTGGCCATCGCGATTCCGGAGAACAGCTGAGTGGTTCAAAGTCTCAAGAGCCTCAAGAGGTTGCTGGCGGTGGGCCTGGAGCGGCCAGCCAATGATCCTGTTTCAGGGTCAGGGAGTCATCCAGGAAGTTCCCCTGGCTGTCAAGGTGGTGGACATCATGGAGGTGCTCATCAAGGAGGCGGTCAAAGTGGGGGTGGCCAACAACGAGAGGGTCGTCAGGGAGGTGGCTCGTCGGGTCATAGTGGCAATGGACATGGATTTGGGCCTTTGGGTGCTCCTGGAGGTGGACAGGGTGGTGGATTCCCTGGAGGCTTTCCCGGCGGTGGCAGTGGACCTGGAGGCGATTTCCCTGGTGGCGGGGGTTTTCCTGGTGGTTTGCCAGGAGGTGGACTTCCTGGAGGAGGGTTTCCTGGTGGTGGCCCTCCGGGTGGAGGATTTCCTGGTGCTCCTGGAGGAGGGTTTCCTGGTGGTGGCCCTCCGGGTGGAGGATTTCCTGGTGCTCCGGGAGGAGGTGACCCTGCCGCACCATATGGAGGTGTGCCTGCATGGCTTGGCGGATTCATGGCCCAACAGGAGTCTGTCCGGGCAGTTGAGCTTCCGGCCTTGCAGGAGCTTTCCGAGTCGGAGATTGGGCCGCTCATTGCAGGTGACTGGCTTACCACTATTGGGCCTTTCTTGAGAGACATCAGCGCCAGCTCATCGCTATGGTGGGATGAAGTTTTGAATGTTGCCGGTGCTCTTTACTGGGTGTGGCTGAACTCGGAGCCCATGGAGCGTCTGCGTTTGGTGGCGGTTACACCTCCGGCTTTTCAGAGGCCGCCTTGGCTGAGGATCGAGCAAAGAGGATCTGTGGCTTTGCTGAAAGCAATCCCTGAGTCTTTGAGGTCGGAGTTGGTGTCGCAGCGGGAAGTTGGGTCAGTGAGCATTGTCTTCAAGGTCCTCCGTGTCTACCAGCCAGGTGGATTGGGGGAACGGACTACGCTCCTGAAGCAGCTGGTAGATCTGAAGGTGCCGGGACCCCTAGGAGAATGGATGACTTTGGGCATTCAGCCTCCGGATCCAGTACTCCTCTTGGCCACGCTGGATCGGTTTGCGGCGAGTTTGGCAAAACAATCGACTCAAGTCGCATTCCGTCTTCAAGTCACACGTGCTGCCTTGAGAGTTGATGTGGCACCCACGGAGAATGGCATCCAGCAGTTTGCGGAGTCCTTGATGGCTGAGGGTGAAGCGGCATTTCATGGTGGGTCCATTGCACCGCTGAAAGACACCGTGAAGATCAAGGCTCTGGATGGTGAAGGTGGAGGATCCAAAGATGAAGGAAACAAGCAGCGTGATGCTCGGGACAAGGTCAAGGACCACTTGGAAGGAAAGGGCACAAAGGACATCAAGGAGGTGAAGAACCAGAAGTCCGACGGAAAGGTGGCCAAGGGTGATTCCAAGGGAGGAACTTCGGAGAAGCCCGTCTGCCGTTACTTCCTGTCCGAGAATGGCTGCAAGAAGGGGCAGAGTTGCCCTTTCCCACATGAATGGAAGGGTGTGTCCAAGCAAGGCCGGTGTTGGTCATGTGGATCCACTCAACACATGAAGCCAGAATGCCCCGTCAAGGAGGTCCCCAAGGTGAAGAAGGAGATGAATGATGACGCCAAGTCCAAGGAGGGCACGGCGAAACCAGCGGAGAGCAGTGGAGCTGTGCCAGGTGAAGCTTCTGGTGGGTTGATGTTCACACCTCCACCTATGCAGCCTTCAGAGGATCTGGTCAAAGAGGCCGTTCAACTGCTGAAGTCGCTTCGTCCTTCGGTCAAGGCTCTGAGTATGAAGTCCGTGAACCCGTCAGATGATGCAAGCAGAGCACTTCTGGATGGTGGGGCAACTCATGTTTTGAGGCCAGCAAGGTCAAAGAAGGAGTTCGATGCTGCGATCCCGATCAAGGTGGAGTTGGCAGCTGGAGTCACCACTCTCCGACAGGTAGCAGCCACCGGCACCCTCATCACCGATTTCGACACCCAGACCATAGTGCCTTTGGGAAAGGTAGTTCGATTGGGGTACAAGGTGAAGTGGGAGAGTGACACATTTGAGATGTGGAACTATTTGGGAGAGAAGATTGAGGTGGTTTTGGAGTCGGGTTGCCCTACGATCGATCTGACAACGGCTCAGCGCTTGATTGAGGAGCTGGAGAAGTTCGAGGCGGATTTGGGGAGGAGAGTGGCGGCCCTGAGAGCTGGTGATCCTGGGGATCTTGCTCCTAACGTGTGGAAGTGGCTCAAGGAGCTTCGGGAGATGTGGCCCGAGGTTCCGGACGAGTTGATCGCCCGGGTGATCCCTACGGGAAGGTGGACAGGAGATTCAGTTCCCCTCAACAGAAGGCAGCGGCAGAAGATCTGGGCAAGTGAGTCCATTATCCTGCACCTGTTTTCAGGGCCTGACCAAGCATGGTGGCGCAAAAGACTGGATTCCAACACCCGGACGGTGATCTGCATTGACAAGTCGGCTGACTCCAATCAAGACCTGTTGTCCGACCAACTTGCAAGCTTCCTGGCGGAGGTGTGTGAAAAGGGGGTCGTGGATGCGGTGCTAGGAGGTCCACCGTGCAGAACGGTCTCCAAGCTGAGATTCCGAAGACCTGGTCCACCGCCGCTGAGAGCAAGAACAGGGCCGGAGAGGTTCGCTTTGGGAGATCTCTCTGATGCGATGCGGGAGCTGGCTTGGAGCGACGCAGTCCTGTGGATGAGGCAGCTGTGGCTTTTCACTTTAGCAAGTCGTGCAAGAGCTCGGTTGGTTCTGTTCTTGAAGGAGCACCCCCGGGACCCTGAAGAGTACAAGGCCACAGATGACACCAATGAGTATCCTTCCTTCTATGCCTGGCCGGAGTGGCAGGTGATCCGCTCTATGTTCGGCTTGAAGGAGGTTCGTCTGGACTTGGGAGCTCTTGGGCACTCTCGCCGAAAGCCGACCACTCTGGGCACGAATATCCCTCACTTGAGCAATTTGGAGGGTCTTACAGATCGTCGACTTTATGGTCCAGCCCTGGATGCGGAGGCCTCGATTGAAAAGAAGGTGTCACAGAGTCGGGAATGGGCGGCTTGGCCAGAGAAGTTCAAGGAGGAGATCGTGAAGGGCATTCTCTTGGTGCTTGACAGCCGAGGAGACAGCGGTGGCCCAGAAGATAGTCCAGCAGTGGCTAAAATGACAGCTGAACAGTGGCGGACGCATGTTCTACAGGATCACATCCCGTTCTCTCGTGAATGCACTACATGTCTCAAAGGTGCTGGTCGCCATCGTCCCCACAAGAAGGTTCCCCATCCGGATGCGATGACTCTAAGTCTGGATGTATGTGGCCCTTTTCGCCCAGGAGAAGACTTTCGGAAGAAGTCCAAGTATTTCCTGGTTGGAGTTTATGCCATTCCCATCAAGAAGGGACCGGATGGATCATCTCCGTTGCCAGAGAGCATTCTCCAAGCGCTGAAGGTCATGGAAGAGCCATCGGAGGAGGGACAAGAAGAAGATCTCCTACCTCGACAGGAGCCGGAGGAGGTTCCACTTCGTGAGGGTGAGCCGAAGGCGTTGGAAGAGTGGGAGAGACTCGAAGTGGAGGCTGAGGATGTGGCTGTGATGAACTACACCCTGGTGGAGACCATGACGTCGAGGCAGGGTGGCACGTCTGAAATACTTGGGCATGGAAGTGAGACGTGTCCACAGTGATGGAGCTGCCGAGATGCTTGGGTCGAGGCGGTGGTGTGAGGCAAGAGGCATCTACAGAACCTTCACCAGCGGCAGCGATTGGAAAGCGAACGGCCGGGCTGAGGCCGAGGTGGGAGTAATCCGGAGGTGCATCAATACCCTGATCCGTTCATCGGGTGATGGTGAGGAGCTCTGGCCCTTGATGGCGAAGCATGTAGGAGAACGTCGTGGACGACTTCAACTGCAGGCACTGGGCTTTTCAACACCAAGGCTGATGCCGTGGGGGAGGAGCGTTATGGTCACCACAAAAGGCTGGGATGATTTCCAAGGCCACTGGAGGCTGAGAAAGAAGAAAGGCCTGGTGAGGGGCCCGGATCCGGAGATGAGTTTGACCAGTGGAGGCCATCTCGTTGAGATTGAGAAGGGCAAGTACATCAGAACAGATGATCTGGTGCAAGCGGAGGATCCGCCATCCTTGGAGGATGTTGTCAACGTGAAGGAGCGATCCGAGCCAGCGTGCATCTTGGATGGAGCAGTTGTTCCTACGAGAAGGTTGCATGAGAAGACATCGTTGGCTTGTGTGTCGTTGGCGGTGCTTCAGGATCGACTTCTTCGTGGACAAGCGTGGGCTAATGAGGAGTTCAGCCGCCTGGAGGCAGATCTTCAGGAGGGCGATGGAGCGGCGGCCTTGATCTATGACCTGGATTGTGAGAACCAGATGATCGAGACGCTGGCTGGTGGTCATGGAGTCGCATGTCGGAAGGTGGAAGCCCAAGCCTCACAGGTTGCAGAGGAGGAGGGAGAGGTGTTTCTTCAAACGAGGACGGTGAGTCTTCAAGAGGTGAGGAGATCGTTACCTCTGTGGATCCCGCCGCTTCAGACCGAGATCGACAACTTCGACAACAACCATGCCATTGAGCGGATCGATGAACTCGGAGGATAATGGAGGAGGCCCAACAAAAGGGCCAAAGGGCTGAACTCATTCCCGGAATGGGCGTCTTCACTCGGAAGGCCGGAGATGGGAGGAGGAGAGCCAGGGTCGTCTGCTGCGGGAATTATATGGAGGCTCGAGAAGGTGATGAAGTCTATGCCACGGGCGCTGACTCCACCCAGCTGAGAGCCATTCTTCGTCTAGCAGCTCTTTGCCAATGGGAATGCCTGTCTCTGGATGTGAAGTCGGCTTTCTTGCTTGCTCCAAAGGCCCAAGGCGAAACAGTCATCGCGCGACCACCCAAAATCTTGGAGGAGGCAGGCCTGATCAAACCAGGCGAGCATTGGCTAGTCAACTCAGCCATGTACGGCTTAGTTACCTCTCCGAAGGATTGGAGCTCCTACAGAGACGCTGAGCTACAGAAGATGGAGGGTGTCTGCACTGGAGGCAGTGGAGGAGAAGAGCCAAAGGGGAGGTGTTTTTCCTTCAGGCCAATGGAAGATCCAAATCTTTGGGCAATACAGGAGGTCGTCAAGACGGAGGAGAACGGCACCAAGGTGTGGGGGCAGGTCTTTGGCCACATGATCGTCTACGTTGATGATGTGCTGATGGTTGGGCCGAGGGCAATCACTGAGGTAGCCTCCAGGACCATTAGAGAGTTCTGGTCAACGTCGGAGCCGGAGTATGCAGAGGTGGGTGGCGCTTCAATGAGGTTCCTGGGCATTGAGATTCAGAGGTTGAAAGAGGGCTCCTACTTCCTCCACCAGGAGTGCTATACCAAGGAGATCTTGGACAGGCATCCAGGAGCTTCGTCATCACCGTTTGTCAAGGTGCCGGAAGAGAAGGAAGAGGAGGAAGCGGTGTCGTTGCCCAAGGTTCGTGAAGCGGAGAAGATCACTGGAGAACTTCTTTGGCTTTCTGGCAAGACACGCCCAGATATTTCCTGGGCTGTGATGAAGATGGCACAGAATGCAGTGAAGAAACCAAGATGGACAGTCGAGCTGGGAAGAGCAGTGATCGCCTACCTGAGGTTCTCCATTGGCTTTGGTCTTCACTACACGATTGAGGTGCCGAAGGACTCCGATCCTGATTTACAACGAACCCGTCCAAGACATGCTGGCACTGTTGAGGTGTTGGTTGATGCCTCGTTCTCACCAGGAGACAGCCATAGCATCTCGGGCACCATCATTCTCTTTGCGGGGTGTCCGGTGCAGTGGGAAAGCAGGAAGCAACCTTTGATGGCTTTGTCAACGGCGGAGGCGGAGCTCACGGCATTGGTTGAGGGCCTACAGACAGGAAGGTCCGTCCAAGCTCTGATCAAGTTGCTGGTCCCCAGTGTTGACATCGAGCTGTACAACGATAATCGTGCAGCGGTGGTGCTGGCGTCAGGATCCGGAGGCGGCTGGAGGACACGCCACCTACGAATCCGGGCTCGATGCATTGCTGAAGCTTTGGCACGTGGGGAGGCAACTTTGAGCCACAGATGTGGTTCCCTCTTGTGGGCGGATGCTTTGACGAAGCCGCTCCCAACGCAGTCATTGAACAGATTCTGTGAGGGCGTTTGGCTGGGCTGCTCATCCATGAAGGCAGATGATCAAGGGGGACCTTGTGAAGTACATGTCCTTGAATCGGCGACCAATGTAAGGGTGTTGAAGTCGATTTCGCTACTGGCCGTGGGTGCTGCTTTGCTTCCGACTACGCAGGCTGCGGAGACTTGTGAGATAAAGGAGACCAGGGGGGAAGATGCTGCTAGTTCCTGGGCAGACCAAGGATGGGTGTTGCTGCTAGCGGGGCTCGTGTGCCTTCTGCACATCATCAAGGACGTAGGCTGGGAGATGGCAAAGCGTCTTTGTGGTCGAAAAGATCAGTTGAAAGTCAAGCTGCTGAGTGAGCAAGCCTCACTTCCATCGAGGATGTCGACTAATGCCGCTGGCTGGGATGTGTCTGCTGCGTCCTCGGTCGAGATTGCTCCAGGTGATCGAAAGCTCATCCCGTTGGGTCTGGCGTTTGAGATGCCGGATGGTTGTTATGGGAGACTTGCACCAAGGAGTTCATTGGCTTTGAGGGGGGTGGATGTTGCTGGTGGCGTGATTGACTCCGACTACCGGGGAGAAGTGAAGGTCATTTTGGTCAATAATGGACCAGAGGTGCTCAAGATTGATCAGGGTGATCGAATTGCCCAGCTCGTCTTGGAGAAGTATGCCAAGGTTGACCTCTCAGCCACGAGTTCGTTGACATGGACCCAGCGTGGAGAGAGTGGCTTCGGAAGCTCTGGATTAGCCGTGAGGCGTCTGTCTGGAGCTCAGAGTGAATCCTCAGGTCAAGTGGCATCAGACACCTATGACGGCGGTGAAGGGCAAAGGGAGACTCCCAATGATGGTGAACCGACCCACGTGTTCTTCGACGGTGTCTTTTTCGCTGAAGCTGGTGAGTCAATGGTGGATTTCGTCCAGAGGTTAAAGCGAAATGAGCTGTATGATTTTCGTTGGATGTTCCCGGAAGTTCTTTTTGAGCACTTTCATCCTGATCGTCTCCATGGGTCTTCGAGGACCTATCTCCAGCAGGTTGGACAGGGCACGATGCGCTTCCAGATCCATAAGCATCCCCAGTGGAGGAAGAAACTCTACGACTCGGAAGTGTCAGCCCCAACACCGGAGAGTGGAATCACGGCTGGAGTGGTGTCCTTGGGATGGAGAGAAGATGGAGTGATGTTCGCAAGGGTGGACAACCGAAGGGGCAGCAGATCCATGTGCTACCTCAAGCAGCCTTGGAAGGGGGTGAGCCTCTTCTACTCGTGGGACAAGCCGTCCAGGAGAACCTGAAAAGAAGCCAGGAGAATGCGGAGGGCATGGGTGACTTGCTGAGAGGGCCTTGTTTTTTGTTTGATAGTTGGTGACTTTTCGTGCGGTCACGTTCATTCGAAGGGGAATGTTCATGTGGCTGTGTATGCTGGTGAATTTTGGTTTGAAGCCACCTTGGCCTAGCGTCACGCATTTGGACCCAAAGCAAAGGGCTTGAGTCTGGCTTTCTTTTGAAGAAGTGGTTCGCGCCTTTGGCCTGAGAATGTCAGGAGGGGGGAGCATCGCGACCACATGTGTTTGCAGTTGGCTGTTCATGAAGGTTGAACACGCTTGAAACTCACCTTTCACGGAGCCCTTTTGTGCTTAGAAGAAAGAAGAGCGATTTTGCTTGAGTACTTATAATGCCCACTGAAGGCTAAGGGAACTTCTCCTACCACCCTGCCTCATGTGGGACATCATTTTTTCACCATTTTTTTGGGGGTCCTTTTGCAGGTAGAGAGTGCCACCGAGACAGAGGCACCTGACAAGGACGCGGTGCTCTTCAGACCTCACAGTAGCTGATGGCCCTGTTTCGGTCCGCGACCTGCTTCGGCCAGACGATGTCGGCTCCTGGCCCCCATCAGACTGCATCTTCCTCATGGTTACGTAGAGGAGAGCCACCACATAGAGTACCACCTAGGTATGCCACCATGAGCCATGAGTATGCCACCACCTAGGTATGCCACCTAGGTAGACAATCCTGGAGGGACGTCTTTCCAGGAGCCATGCCATCCACTTCCACCATGATTGGAGGGGGGGGACCCTTCGGACCCTTCGTATGGTTTTGTTCCATGTCCGACAGTCCGACGGCTTGGGATGTTCAGCTTGGCCGAAAAAACGGCGGGTTGCGTGCTTGCCTACATGGGCCCAGGAGCTGGACAGATCTCAGTTTCCGCAGGGACACGAGAGACATATGCTGGACTGTCTTTGCAAGGTGGTTGCTGTCCAGCATTCTGCTTGGCATGCGTGGCAGGTTCCTTGTACAGCTGAGGCTCCTTTGGTTAAGCCAAGGGGGGTTTCTACACTCTGCCGGCTCCAGGGAATTCACAAAGAGGCTTAGTCCAGGAGTCACAAGACGGGGTGGTGATTTAGTCCCGTCCATTGAGTGGATCCTCTAGACAATTAAGCACCCCCTTCAGTGGATCTGCTGGATGTTCCAGAAGATCCACTCACTACAAGGATCCTCAGTTCCTCACTACAAGGATCCCCTCAGTCCCTTGTGATCCTCAGTCCTCTTGGAACTGTAGGATGTTTTTTTTCCTCCTACCCTTCCTACCCTACCCTACAGCTTCAACGCCTTGAGAACTCTTTGAGACTTCAGCGGTCAACAATTTAGCTCCACAAATTGGATGATGTGTGGTTCAACATCGCTGGACGCACGAAAACAGAGCGAAACGGTGTTTTTCTCCGGTCGCGATCCTCGGCAACGATCTGCACCCATGGGAATCTGGAATGGAAATGGGATTGACCGCCCACATGACCCCGGTGATTTGATTTTCCGTCAGCCTACATGGGACCGGGAATGCTTCATACGTGGATGTACTTGGGCCACTTGGGAGATGCAGCTCATGCTTGTGGGGTTTCGGAAACGCCACACGGATGAGCTGCAGGGGTGGCGGTGTTCCATCCTCCCATCCACTCGGATGCATTTTCACCAGCCGAGTGGCCGAATGAATGGGCCAGGCCCGGGGCGATGGCAGCTCTTGGCTGCAGGCACGGCTGGGCCGAAGCCGCACATGGACAGCGTGGCTGTGGCAGCCCAAAGCTGACCATCAAATACCCGGAACTCGCGATCCATTTTTTATTGTACATTTTTTTGACCATTTAAAAGGAGTTCAGCCCAGCCATGTTCAGCCTGGTGTTGTAGTTGTACAAATCATCTACAAAAACTGTAGTAGAACGTAGCAAAACAATGGTTGTTGCGGGATTCAGGCCATTAAGTTACTAAACTAATGGTGTGCCAGGAATCCCTTCTTGGGGGTATGCAATAGGGGCCGCAGCACCCTCTTTCAGGTCCCTGTTGAAGGGTCCGACCACCTCGGTCCACCAGGGGAAGTCATCCCAGCCTTCGGTTTTCTTCGACGAGCTCAGAGCATGGTCGGGTGTGATGTATTCTTGGTGCCTTACGTATCGATATGCAACACAATCAACACATCACCATCTGTTATGGAACATGGACTTCTTTACCTTTTTGTTGGCGCTTCCAACCACCATGATGTTCATGATGTGTCATGGGTTTTGACATGCTTGGACCGAACCACCATCATTGTTTACTCAGCAACTTGCGACTACAACAGCCTGTCCAGCAAAGTTCGGTCACCAGGACTTCCCAGGGTTACCATCAAGACGAGTTTCCCCTACAAAGCAGGTGGTTCGGTGTTCGACTCTCCGATGTGCTCGGGTCAATTCCATCTCCTCGCGTCGCGTTCCGAACGGAAAGGGGCTCAGCTGCCAGGGGTTTTTATAGACCGTATACTTGATCATGGTAAGTACCCCGCCACCAATGCTGGCGGCCCTGTAGGACCTTTCAAGGCCCTTCATAACAGCCCCTTGAAGCAGGTGAAGCACGAAGGGACTGGCGACCCGCACTCGGACTGCTCCAGCTTTACCTTTACCGGGGAACCATCTCTGGGTCATGCGGCGAACGGGGCGGTTTGGAAGAAAAGGGCTTCGGATCCTGTTCCCGATCGACATCCCCAAGTTCCCCTGCTGGCGAGACCCCAAACTTTGCTAACCTTGTATATATGTATATTACATAATGATGAGATGACTATGTGATGGGCACAAAGATGAGATCAGATATTCTGTATTGTAGGGTCATGGCACTTCTGTTCCATGAGTTTTCAAAACTACAGCAAGCATCCCTTGCGTGCCTCTCCAGTGGTGGTTTCGGGGTTCGTATCAATTTGGGACCTTGTGGGTGGCAGGACGAACGATATTCACCCCCTCATCAAGCTAGTTAGGGTCAAATTCAATCGAACTCTGATCATCCCATGAACTCAGATCATCCCACTTCTTTTCTTTGGGGGGGACTCAGGTTTTGCACATGTTTTTGACATGTTGCGACAGCTCACGCATCTTCGCCAGGGCTCGCACCCTGCCAAGCTGTCCCTGCTTTGATGCCCAGCTGGGACGCCTAGGGGACGGCTTAGCAGCGACGGACCTCCCCTCCAAGGTTTTGAAGTGGACTGGCATGGCCCCTGGAGAAAAGACACGCGTCCTCGATACTATAGTAATAATGCCAGGAGCTACTAGTTACTAGTTGCGTCTTTGCTCCGTTCGTAGCGATGCCCTTGCTCCTCTACAAAACGGAACCCCGTGGAGGGCAGCCCATCGGCCGGGTCGGACTGTCCTCACTACCCGAATCCCGGAAAGCAGATCCCTAAAGCCTTCCGGAGTTAGGGTAAAATCCTTAAGGGCATTGGAAGTGTCACATGTTTTTTAGGAGGTCCTAAGGTCGATCCTAAGGGAACTTTTGGCATGAACCTTACGGTGTGCTTATTATTGAGGGGCGGGCATGCCGAGTTTCTGCAAACCCTATGCTTTTCTCATAGTCTAATTCCACTGGAGCACACCGGAGCACGCCAGTTCAGACTGGGCTTTCTCCATGTTTGCCGAGGTTGGAGTGCAGAGGCGAATCACTTTGTGCGATGGATGAGGGGCAGAGGTCCGATATTATTGTAAGGCATTTCCTCAAAATGAGGGGAGGAGAAATAGCCTGGGCGAGCGGGCCTTCCTTTTGAGAACCAGAAGAATGGACACCTCCACATACTTGAGTGTGGCTTCAGTTGGCGTCATTTTGGCTCCCAGTTAAATGGCAGATCGCTCCCCATGGCAGTGAAACAGTGTGAACTGCCAGACTTCTTTGGGGCAGGGCAGTTGTTGCAACAGTGTGACTGCAGTCATTGAGGTCATAGGGATACGGCTTCTATACGGTATCTATGTTTTCTTGTCTATACGGTCATTTACTGTCAAAAAGGTCACAGGTCCGACGAGGACGAGTACATTGCCCGAGTCTATGCATGAACATCACGAGATCCGCCTTGGACAGTCGGTCCATGCGGCGAAATCCGCGTGTTCGTCCAAGATTATGTTAACACGGGGAATTTCATCCAAATATGGCCTTCGGACCAAAAAAGTGCATACACCTTTCCAGGCTAAACACATAAAATCACCTACAGCGCCTTCAAACTTATTGGAACAAGGCCTCCGTAGCTTTTCTGGTCAGAATTAGACTCATGCAACCAACATGCAGCTCACAAACCCGCAGTAATGTTTGGCAAAGGAACACCGCCCTCCAAAGGACAAATGTATGGCCATGCTCTCTATCTTTGTGCTTTCTGGGGTGACGAATTTGTCGTTGAGATGGCTAAACATCTCCGTCTATAGCAGCTCTACAATGTATGAAAAGTGAACATCAGGACCTAGGAAGAATCCAGGCCTGTGAAAGGCCGAAAACCAGCTGAGCCATCTCCCCCTTGGGCCCCTGCAACACCCGAGACCTGGAGGGCGTCTATCACTCTTCTAAGGCTTATGCCGGACAGCCGGGCAGCCGGCATGAAGGGAAGAGAAACAGGTTGTTAGTTGGTTTTCTTCTTCCCGTTTCTCTCTCTCTCTCTCTGTCTCGCTGATTCGCTCGCTGTTTGTCTCTCTCTTTCTGCATGTCTCCCTCTCGCTTCTCCCTCTCTCTCTCTCTTTTTTACCCTTTGCCGCTGCCTTTTCCTCTAGCGCGAAGCAGAAAGACAAAATGCTCATAATGCAGGACCGCTCGGGCAGCATAGCTCGCACCACGCGCATTAGAAAACCACCTGATACCCAACGGCCCATATCAAAAACATCGGACGGCCATAAAACGTACAACCCCCTGCCGAACATGCTCTATAGAATCTGGGAGCTTGAGCTCAAAATGACCCTCAGATTTTTATAGACAATTTTCTTATAAAATCAAGTGCCAACCTAACATGAGGTCCATAAGTGTGTTCTCTCAAAATGGGTGCCGACTTTGGAGTCTATAGAGAGGGCACGCCATGTCACCAGTTTTTTATAAGGGTCCTAAAATTTGGATCTATAGAAAGCATTTGGAGTAGTAGGAGGTTGAGAATTAATTTTAGAGTGGTAGGTCGATATTTCATTTTATAGTATTGAAAGAATTTAAGTAATAGCAGGTTGAGAATTGATTTTTGAGTGGATGGTGTGCTGCGAGGTTTTGGGCCACGTTTAATTCAATTTTCATGTCCCCACACTTCTCCGCACAATCAAGGCCAACCTCTTGGGCCACTTTTGTCCCGGATTCTCTTAAGTTAATTTTCAATTTCAACCTTCATATTTTCCGACACTTCCCTGTAGAATCAAAACCAGCCTCGGCCATGCATCATTGATTTTCATTTTTGTTGCTATCAATTTTTCATGATGATGAACACCCATACCTTGAGGCACTTGATTCTATACAGAACATGTTTCCGGCACTGCAGGACCCTCGGAGCCTGGTTTTTCGTTTTATCACTATAACATCAAGTCTTAAGGTACACCGGTAATTTCACAGGGGATCACATACCAAAAAGTCAATAAATAGACATATAGGATAGAGCCAGTGATAGAGCCATCCGAGACCATTAATTACTTTAGGATCATCAATGAGGGAACTGTGCGTAACTCGTCTGGGATCGTCTGGGCTCCGCGGGGCGCTGAGTCCTGCGTGGGACCGCGCAGGCTTGGCGATGTTTGCTCCTGGCCGGCTGGGATGGAGAGATGTTGCCGCTGGCGGCTGGGAGCTCCGGTCTCTCACCTGGGGCTTTGGCTGGTGTATAGTCGACATACTTATACCGGCAGAGAGAGAGAGATTTATATATATATATATATTTTTTTTTAAATATAGATAGATATACTCTCAACTAAATACGTGTGTGCTTATATATATATATCCATTATAGACAACTTTGAATTCTGATTGGGTCACTCAGGAAATACGTTCTTTTGCCCTTTGGTGAGCGTTTTGTGGAGAAAGCGATGATTCCTTTTTCATCCATTTCCTCAACGCAACTCCCAATCAGCTTTCTCTTGATATTGCGCCACGTCTTTGCGCGAAGACCTTCGCGCGTCACTGAGGCGCTGCCTGGCGAATCCGAGTGCAGCGCTTCGCAGCTTCTGCGCGGTGCCCGCGAGGTCCCGGACGTGTCCGGGGAGAAGACCTCGAAACCGTTGTTGCGGAGCGGGTCAGTGGGTGAATTGAAGCATCGAATTGGGGTGAAATGTCCTTCTGGGGAATATATTTTGCAAATTCGAGCAACCTTTCCTGCAGCTCGGGAATCAGCAAGGTCGAGATTTTCATGGCCCCTTGATCGAACAACAAACATGTGCTCAGTGACAGCGCATGCGGAGCTTTTGAAGATCCCATCGTCCTCTCCGTTGCCGTCCGGAGGTGAAACCCATGATGGCGGCACCGTTCCTTGGGCGACAGTGCTTGTGGTTTGTCACAGGTTGGGGGGACATGGGCAAGTTCACTGCAGCTATACGAGATCTTTACCGGGAAAAATCGAAGTGAATTGGGGCACATGGTGTGCTACTGTACAGTAATGCTCATGTAGGAGGTGATGTCTTGTTCCTTTTGCCTTGCAGCTTGTTCACCCTACCTGTTTGGGGCTTTCGGCTTTCGTCTCTGAATTTCCTTGCAGGCCGGGGATCTACTTCCTCAGCGCGAGATTCTCCACATCTCGCACGGGTTTTCCGGATCGGTCTGGAAACTCCCTTCACCAGCCAAAAAGCACCCAGAATTCTTGGCAGATGTGGATTCGTTTTGAGCAGCTCTCCCCCCAGGTTGCCACTGGCCGAGTCACTTCAAGGCAGGAACCGAACACCCGAAACAGGCATTGGATGGAAAGTGGGCCTTCTTTTTCAATGGGCCTACCTAGTCCCCCAGGCCCCAGTATATTTGACAAAAACACACTGCAGCACTTCTCAGACACGAGGAAGTGAGTGACTTGGACATGGTACACGGTGGGTACAGCACTGCTGCCGCATGTTCCAAGCCTCGGCCATTGGCCGGTCTCCGCTCGTTGGATCGGTGAGGTCCTTGGGACCCGGTCGATCGTCGACGACCGACGTTGGGACGTGGATCCCAAGGGAGACGCGGGAGACATCACTAGCGCGTTTGGAATGGGTGTCCAATGGGTGACCTATTAAGTGGTGTAGGGGTGTCCGGGGGTACGAGAGTCAATATCCCAAAGTCCAATGCCCTGAACCCTTGGAACGCCTGAATGATCCATACCAGCACCAGGAAAAAAGGTCGCTGGTGACCACCTCCAGTAGCCCTCTTCGTAGAAGACATGTTGGAGGGTCCTGGCCCTACCCAACAAGTGAATAGTTTGCAACACCTTTCTTGGGAACTCGTTTCCCCACAGCAAGAACAGCTGGCGGACAGTTCAGCCACCTGTCTTTTCCAGGGATTTTCCGGCCAAACTGGAGTGAGAATTGTTTGGGACAGGCGTGGCGGCTCTCCACCTGAGTGGAACCCGCTTATGGGCCTGGATGAACAGCGGAACGCTGCAGGCTGGCGGGGTGGTTATTGGCTCGCGATCGCGAAAGCGATCGAGGGAAGCCGCCAGTGTATCTTAGGCCCCTTAGATGTTGATGTAGCATTGCAGGAGAGTTTCGTGTGTCCAACGTTTGCCTGTGGCTGGTGGTTTGTTTGTTTTGTGTTGTTGTGTTGCGATATTGGTTTGCTTGTTTGTTTGTCTCTTTGTCTCACTGTCTGTCTGTCTGTCTGTCGGTCGGTCGGTCGGTTGGTGTGGTTGGTTTTGTTTTGATTTGGTTCGTTCGTTTTTTTCAATTGAGTGCTGCATTTCAGAACACTCACCAGGGTCCTCGTAGTGAGATCGAAACCAGCAGGCTATACGGCTATACCTACTTGAAAGGTAGGGAAAACATGGGTGACCTGTAAGATCTGAACAGCTTCTTCTGCCACCATCCAAGAGGTCACCAAGAATATTTTCGACACTGCTGGCATGAGCATGCAGGACCTTTGAAATATGTGGCGCACCTCAAACGAATCATCTGGATTTATGCATGCGCGCGCCAAAGCAAGGTCTGGGACCTAAGCGAGACCAGGAGCGGGACTTGTCTTTTTTGCGCAGAAGTGAAGGGGAACAAGCACCACATGGGGTGCTGAAGAGGCACCACTATGTAGACATACCTAGAACTAGAACCTGAGCGACCCTTGTGCTGGACCGACAGCCACCAGACATATGGCCCTTCCCTACCAAAACAGGGTTCAAGTTCTATAGGCTAGTCTGATGGCTATAAGTATGTAGTACTGTTGATGAGAAAAAACCATTAAAAAAACTTCCATTTGAGGATGAGGTGTATAGGCTATAGGTATGACTGTTGATGACTAGAACTTCCATGACTGTTGGAGGCTTTACAATCCAACCGCGGAGGGGGTTGATTCATCACGAGTCATCCACTGTCTAAGACGCAGGACTGCTGGACGGAGCCTTTCTGATTTTCCCATAGAGCCTCCGGGCCCAAGAGATAACCAAGGGAGGCTCGAATGGTTATGAGGGGCTGCGAAACCAACCATTCAGTAGTTTTTTTTTTGGTGCGGCACAGGCACATGCAGCAGATCAGTGTACTATGCTTCCTTGTCCTATTTTCTGGTGAAAGCAAGGACCTAACAACCCGAAGATGTCGGGTTTCAATCCCCGCTGATTTGTCATGTGCCGCCGATGGTGTGCTGGAAGCCGCTGATGGCGCGCGGGGGGCGAAGCCCGGGAAGAATGAAGACTTCAACAAGAGGCATCGAAGATGTTTCTTCGTGGCCTGGAGTGTGTAGTGAGAGATTTTGCCAGCACGTGCCACTCCAAGTAAAAGCTGGGGTCCATGCAACTTCAATGCACCTGCTAAGAATCTAGTGACGTTGTTGCACGCCACTGGTTGCTGAGTTGAAAAGCCCACATATATCCACATATTTTATCTTTGGTGTCGAGACCCCATCATTCATTATCTCATTCATCCAGAAGTGGGCTGCTAGGGAAGACCAATCATTGCTGCCTGGCTGCTTGATACCTAGGCCTAGGACGGTTAGACTACCCTACAAAGATGAGAATGGATGTCCATTGCTGCCGAAAACTAAAATGGACTCCGTGGTGTTGGCCCCCTGAAGATGGTTTTCCTCCGCCCAGCGGTTTTCTCAGGAGCCTTGGCCGCGGCTTCGCGCTGGTGGCTCCCGGTGCGCCGGCGCAGGTCACGCAGGGCGCTGCTTGGCCGCGCAGTTTCAGGGCGGGACCAGAGAGAACCAAGGGGAAGAACCACTTGCCACGTGCCAGGTTGGGTGCCTGTACCAGTTGTGTGACAGATCGGACCGTAGGGGTCTCTCTGAACCTGGAGGAAGTAATTAGGCGCAACAGGTCTCTCCGACAGCGAAGGCCCAAGCTGGAGAGAGATGGAGAACCAACCCCAAAAAACCGGTATCAATACAAATCCCCCGAAGGCTTGCTGGTGCTTAGTGGAGAATAATTAAGAGAATGAGCCCTTACCATGGATACCTTAGGATCCATTTCCTCATTGCTTACGAGTCACACCACCCATAATATCATAAGGTGCCAACGACATCAGTCCAAGCTGCCATCGCCTATTGCGGCATGGGGCACTCTTGATCGGTCCGAGCAAGTCGCCCTCCTGCGCGGTGCTCCCAAACTCTCCGGTGCTCTCACTAGATAGCATGTGTGTATGGTTCGTTCAGTGGTATATACATAATAAATCATAACAATACGATATAATATGATATAGTTACAGATGTATATACCAGTGTAATCCGAAGGACAACAGGTTTGATAGAACAAGACCATATTTTGGGTGGTTGGTGGTCCAAAATAGAGGTCACTCAGGGTCTATAGGATCACGGTCCTGTCAAGACTCCGGGCGGTCACCACTGGTTCCAAAGAAACAGTTATAAACCGACCCCCCAAAACCACCCCTGGCCCACCTTCTCAGGAGGTGGTTGGAGCCCTAGGCCCGGGCCTTGGCCCCCTTGGCTTCCTTTTCATCAAATCCACCAGGGCGCTCACCAACCCCAGAAATTGGGTCGTCACCGGCGGCAACGCCGTTGCTCGAGGTCGGTCTGTGCGTCTTTGCACCCTGCGTGGGAGGCTGACGTTGAGATGAATCGAGCAATATCGGCCATGCGTTGAATCTGGCATCCCAAAATGATCAAAATACCCCAAACCCATCCATAACCCATCCGAACCGCATCAATTGGGGTGGAAGCAGTATGCGGTCATTCTACGAAAGAAGTCATTGTGTGACTTGGTTTGGTGTGTCAGTGCTTGGCTACTACACACCTGAACATCTCAAGAAACATAAGAAACTCTTGAATGGAATCCACACACACACATTACTTTGAATGTAGATAGGCTCAATCGGGTGGTTCAATCCACTCGGTGAACGGCGAACGGGAGTCAGTGACCTGGTCCTGGTCCTGGGTGAACTTCCTTCGGTGGAAGGCGACCGGTGGAACTCCCGCACACCGCGCATGACATGTCCAGCCTGCGGCCTGCGGTTTTCCGATGTTTTCCCTGCCGGAGGCCCTGAGGCTTGTGAGAACCTTGGCTGCACCTGCGGACAGTTCCACGATCGAACAGTTTGTGCGGCATGCTTACCTAAACTTGTTGATGTTGCTTTATTGTAGGCGCCTGTGTTGAGAAAGGTCCCCAGGTCTGAAGATGCTTGGACCTGGGTTTAGTGTCACCTGCTTTGTCTTTTCATGTCTTTTCCCTTGGTGGGTTGCTGAACTTTTGGGCCTTTGGGTTCTGACTTGGGTCCTTTGTTCTTCTTGTTAGGGCTCAGGTTTGTGGCCTTGTTCTTATTTGGGAATGGGAGTTGATGCCCTTTTTGGTCATGCATCTTGTTTTGAACAACGTGCATGTTTTACTTTAGACCGCAAGTGTATTTCTGTGATGTGACTGCTTCTCCTGTGGTGGCACTGCGGTTGTTGGATTTTTGCCCCGCCCGCCTCGAATTGCCCTCCATTACTCTGATGTTCTGTCTTGGCCATGTTGGCGACATGTGCAACACAGATCCCTGGGCCTCATACCCCCAGCTTGCCAGTCTATGGCAGAAAGAAAGGAGTGCGGCTTGGAGAGTGATTCGTTTGTCACTGTTCTTTGGGGGAAGTCTCAACCCTGGCCTCCTTCGCTTTTGTTTTGGCAGGTGCTCTACCAGGTTGCCTCTAATATTTCTGTGTCCCAGAGAAGGGGATAGAGAAGCAATCCCCTTCCATCCCTTTTCAAACGCATCATTGAACGTACTGAACTCAGTGTTGAACTAATGTTGGCGGCGGGACGTGGTTGCAGTTCAATCCGTCCCAATCCTGCACCCATCGAGGCATGTGCTTTGGCTGCTGGGTCGGGGTACATCTGGCCCCGCGTTGTTTCAAGCCGTCGCTCGGAGGAATCCCCGGGGGATCCCGGGGGGGAAGGTGCGCAAGGCGTGGTTTGGACTGGAGAAAATGGAGTTTCTTTTGCATGGGGGATGCATTTGCATGGCTAGTATTTGGCAGCGTTTTGGTGCAAAGGTTGGAGGTCACGGATCAAGAGCAACTCATAGAAGCAGGAGGGCGACTCATCGGCCTGGCCGTGCCAGCTCGCGAAAAAATGGCTTTTCTGTCGGGTTTCCGGTGATGGTTGATTGTTTTTGCAGGTTTTGCTTCCAAAAATACGCACCCTTAGTTGACTAAGGTTGTCGCATCCAGTCTTCTAATGTGAAGGCACTGTTTCGGGCGAAAAGAAGCCCAGCATGTACAAAGAGACTGCACCCTCGGGCCATGTACAAAGCAGCTGGGGCCCTCGGTACGGTAAACTCGCGACTCGCCAAGCTAAGTAGGTTAGGTAGGCACCGCGGAAAATGTCGATGTTGCCAAAACACTCCCAAAATTGGTTGAAGGGACAATATCCAGTACAACCATCGTTTGGGGGGTGAAAGCCACGGTTTCTGATAGATTTTCCCTTCAAAGAATCCATTGAATCACCGCACCTGCACCCTTCCAGGAGTCCATGAAACTTGAATCCAATTTGTTTGACTATTTGACATACCCTCCGGCGAACACATCGTGGATGGCCGTGGAGGGCTCCAACACGAAGACCACAAGGGGTGAACTCCACTTCCATGTTAGTGACTCAGAGTGTACCCCAACATTCTTGGCGTTTCCCCAATCGTGTGAAGCCGGCAGGACACATGCGCGTCAAGCTAGTCCTTTGCTCCTTGCAATCGATTTGCATAGTCTATTGTCTAAATCAGAGACTCTCAAAGGTTGAGCCAGCAATTAAGAACAAGGCGACAGCAGGTTGAGGAGGGCCAACAGGGCGACGAATGGTTTCTGATCTCGATGGGGGTTCCCTGCAACGTATTTGATCACGATTGATGGTTTTTGAAGCTGGATTCAATTTGCAGGAAAGCCAAAAACAAAAGGACATCAAAAGCGAACGGAGAAGCACAGCAAAAGGGCCGAACATTAGGCTTCCTCATAAGCAATCGTTTTAAGCATTGTGGACTTTAGATACCTTCAGGCAACCTAAATAGAAATATCTATGTATATATATATAGAGTTTTGACTTGCCGTGGGGGTGACACCTTGGTCAGTGGGTGTGACACCTTGGTCAGTTTTGCAATCTCTTTTACCGTGGATTTCTGCTTGACGAGTCGTTTTAGTCGAACAACTGCTTGACGACTGCCTCGCAAAAGCTGGCCCATGTGGAGTTCAATGTTGTTGTCCGACACGAGTTGCTGCCACCCCCCGGTGTCCGTGGGTTTATGCTGAGGTTTGGAACAAGTGCTGGGGTTTGGCACGTTTTGTTGCACAGAATAGATCCCCTCCAATCAGAGCAGGCCCTGCCCCATACGAAGAGGGGTCACGTGAACGTGACATGCTGGGAAGAGGGGGCACCCTTTGAAGCGGTGAAGGACCATGCAAAACTGAGACAGAACCTTCCCACAAACCCTGCGCATGAATGTCCACCCCAATAGCTTCTTGCAAAGTGGAGCTGACAGTGTTTTGACGCAGGCTAAAAATGGATGCTCAAACAATTTTGAGCAGAAGCAGGGTCGCAGCACACAGGGTATATTGGCGGTATCGGACTGGCACACTTGAGCTGGGGCCGCTTTTTAAGGACGCCGAGCCCCAAAAAGGAAACCATTGCGATGTCCGTCGTGAAGAAGGTGCCTGTGCCCAAAAACAATTAGGATTGGAGTCCCAACTGCAATAGAACAGGTTCCTATAACATTGTCCAGAGAAACACCGAGTGAGTTCTGGGAGTTGCTTTAATTTTTGCGCTGTGTTTGCTCAAGAGTTGGGCCTGCTTTGGCTTTGGCTGATTGGAACGCGGGAAATCTGCATACTGAGGACATGATTTGGCAACCAATCGCTCCTCCAGGCTTAGGCACAGGACTCCGAGTGAACAGGAACAGACCCTTATCACAGCTCCCTCATATATAAATCTCTCTCTCTCTCTCTCTCTCTATGTGTGTATATATATTATGTTTGCCCACAGTCGGGAGTGGACAGCCTGTTTGCCCCAAAGAGAAAGATTCGGCCAGGTAGATGGTAGACATCCAAACATGGCATCTACGGTTAGCCCTTCGTTCTAAAAACCGCCATGGCCGCCATGGATCAAGCCGAAGAAGCAGCTGAGAAAGCGCTTTTCGAGCTGGAGGACATTGTGGGTTTGACATCGCCTGAATCCCGCACTGCACACACGGTGTCGTCAAAATATGATGCACAACCCCTGGGTGACTGGACAGTCTGCAAGTCTATGCCTATGTGCTTGGTATGTATGATTTATATGTAATAATGATCATGTATACTGTATAATCCCCGTATTTTTTCTAAAATGATGCCAGCCGTACCGGGACTGTCCCCTGATGGTGTGATTATTTTTTTTGTTTTTTTGAAGGACGTTCGGTTAGAACACGTCAGCCTTCACCTCTTTGTGACATGAGCCTTCACAAAGTATATTATACGTATTGATTCACTGTTTCTTTTTGTTTGTCAAAGCACCTTCCATTCAGATTCCGCCAAGCATCTCAACAGCCGAAGACCTGACATCGGAAGACGAGATTTGCTTCTCCCAACTAGGTCGTTTCAACCTAAGTCGATGTTCATCCAAATACACAGCATGCCCCCAACCCACCCAGAACCGAATTTCCAGGAGCTCAAGCTGCGCCTCGCCGCCGGCCGTTGCCGCGACGCCGCGACCGCGGCACGAAGCGCGGCCGCGCTTCGGGGGGAGGCCGCGGCTTTCGACGAAGCGCCGGAGGAAGCTGTGGAGGTGCTACGGCGCCGGGTACTGGAGCCATTTGGAAGAAGTTTAGAAGGAAAGCCTGGGCGATGCGGATGCAGGGGTAGATGTAGGATGTGTTTGATGCGGATAGGCATGTTGATGAAATTGAGGATTACACTTTGGGGGGGGCTTCAGGGGGAAAAACCTGGAAGACGGAAGGGCAGCTTGTTGGTCACTGGGCCGTGCAGGGCTAAGGAGTGCAAGATTGGCATGGCCGCATTCAGTCAGCTAGCTTTCTGGTGGAGACTGACCAAAAACCGCCGGCGGGTGCCACGAGCCCAGGGAAAAGCAAGAATCTCCTTGACTTCTTGTCACTCATTCCATCCAAAAAGAAAAGGAACTGAAACTGAACTATGTACCAGCATCTACCAGCGGCCCCCCGGTCCGGCTTTAAGGGGTGGTTAAGGGGTGCTTCGTGGACAACCCCTATCGTTATGGACGCCCTGGGCGCAGTTGCCCGAGGCTCGAAACGGCGCTGCAACTCGCCACCCTGCGTGGGGCTGAAAGTGACCGGGTGCCGAAGGCGCGCCTTCCGTGGGTGTGGAGATCAGGTTTAGGACACTCCTTTTGGCCAGCTGGGATATATGTGAATGCCCCACGCCAATAGGACGCAATCATGCAGTGAAGGACTTGTGGTAAGGCGCAGCCAGGACGTGTGGTCCAAACTTGCATCTCCACACTAATGCCTTGGAGGCGTCCCCCATTCTTGGACAGATCAGCCACCACGAGGAGTTGTCGGGGTTGTTCTTGCATGGGCTTTTTCCGGCCCAGAAACATCCAATCCATTGGCAATTGGGGACCTCAAGGCCATCCCGACATCAGATGGCCATCCATCCGGGTGTTTGTCCGTTTTGGGTGGACATGGCCCAGACACTCCGCGGGACTGGCACATTTACCCTACCCCTTTTCAACAGTTTTCAATCGCCCCAACAGACGGGGAGTCAGATATGCTCCCATTGTTCCCCAATAGCCATGCTATGGGGTCTTGCAAAACTAATAGGCGGACGGGCGCCGTCGGGTCACAGTCAGAGCTTGTGGGCGGATGGTGTCCCGGTCATGTTTTGATTGCGTCCGGGTCATGTGATGCTGGTGTCCCGGTGTCCCGATCATGTTTTGATTGTGACCCAATCATGTTGTGATGGTGTCCCGGTCCTGTTTTGATGGTGTCCCGGTCATGTTTTGATGGTGTCCCGGTCATGTTGTGATGGTGTCCCGGTCATGTTTTGAAGGTGTCCCGGTCATGTTGTGATGGTGTCCCGGTCATGTTGTGATGGTGTCCCGGGCATGTTTTGATGGTGTCCCGGTCGTGTTGTGACGGTGTCCCGGTCATGTTTTGATGGTGTCCCGGTCCTGTTGTGATGGTGTCCCGGTCATGTTGTGATGGTGTCCCGGTCATGTTGTCATGGTGTCCCGGTCGTGTTGTGACGGTGTCCCGGTCATGTTGTGACGGTGTCCTGGTCATGTTTTGGCGGTGTGCCGGTTATGTTTTGATGGTGTCCGGGTCATGTGACGGTGTCCCGGTCATGTTGTGATAGTGTCCCGGTCAAGTTGTGATGGTGTCCCCATCATGTCATGCTGGTGTCCCGGTCACCTTGTGATGGTGTCCCGGTTATGTTGTGATGGTGTCCCAATCATGTTGTGATGGTGTCTCGGTCATGTTTTGATGGTGCCCTGGTCATTTTGTGATGGTGTCCCGGTTATGTGATGATGGTGTCCGTTGAAAACAGCAGCTGTTTCCAGATTTTTCTTTTTGTCCCGGTTTGTATCTTGCTATCGGGGTCTCCAGCTGGGCTAATTTGAGTTGGGGGTATACACTCGCAAAGGCATATTATATATATATATAAGTTTCTACATGTATGTCACGTATATATCATACATACCGTATCATCCGAGATAGAAACCAAGTATAAGCTGAGCTTCTGGTTCCGCCCATGAAAAAAGCCAAACCTTACGCGGCGTCCCGGTGAACGCACCGCCTGCACGGACCACCGCAGGTGTCGGGTCCGAGCCCCGCGGCTCTTGCGGCGTCCGCGGCGTCCGCCGCGGCGGCCGCCGAGTCGCGGCGGACGGTGAAGCTGGAGCCGCTCGGGTGGGGCAAGTCCGTTGGGAGACGGCGCCGGCGTTGAGTTCCTGGAACTTGGGGAAGGAAGCGGAAGAAGCTTCAGATCACAACGGATCTAACTGTGAACCATTTAGAAGTGCTTGGAATACTAGAGGAGAGGGATGTGGAAGGAACACTACGACTAAGAAGCCTCTCGATGCCGGTTCATTGAAGGAACACGTGTGGAACGTTTCGATTTCGGCCCCTCTTCAGAGTTGACCGCATTGACCCGCCGAATTCCTCAATTCCAAAACATTGGAACATAGGGGATACAAATGTCAGGAGGCAACATCCGCGCACAACCACTTCAGTGGTTTTTCTTGCTGCTTTACTCCAGTGAATGGAATGGCTAGGTTGATTGGAATTTTTGATAAAGTTTGACTCTAATTTGACTATACCTCTCATGTGTGCATGTGTTGCTTAACTGGCTTAACTCGGAACTCAACCACAGAGACCATCGGCCGCCCCCGACTCTTGGATCGAAGTGATTGAAGACCGACTTGGTCTTCGTGGCGGCTCAAGTTGCAAGGGGTGTGGAGGTTTTTGCCTTTGGAATGCGGCAGATTCCTGAAAAACACTACAAATGCCTGATGTTTTTTTTCGGCCATTCCATTCACTCGGGTAAAGCAGCAACTAACCACTGAAGCTGCAATCACCCATAGGCCTATAGGTCCTCCTTGACCAGGCACACCAAAATGCCACGCCCCAGCGCAGCGGTCTTTGAGGCCCGGTGCAGCGGTCTTTGACTACTTGACCGAAAAGTTGGATGAAAGCCTGGAAGACGCTGAAGCCTGAAGAGTTGGACGAACAGTTGGTTAAAAGCAATGACTGAAAGTGACCAGGATCCTAAGGGGTGGTGAATGGACACCCCAAATGACCTCTGGGCTATTAGTGGCCACCCGGAATCCGTGGTGCTGGGAGAAGTCCTCCGCATGTCTTTTGCTCAGACTGGACCGTCCCTTTTCCAGATGTTGATGTGCACAGGAATGTGATGGTGCATGTTCTTCCTAAGTGCTTTGCTTGCTCGTGGCCACTTGAGGGCGTTCCTGGATGAGCTGGAAGTTAATTCAGGAGACAGAGGTTGCGAAGGGGCCCTTTGTTGTGGGCCACTTCCCCCACCCCCAGTGCGCCAAGTACGCAGGGATAGACCCATGAAGATATATATATATATATATAAAGATACATGAATGGAACATCCTCAATAGCCATAGCTTGGGGTTGTACAGCTGGGGTGGTCAGCTGGGTGGTCAGATCCTCAAGTCGAATCGTTGGAGTCTTCCCTTTCCCGCTGTTCCCTCGGATTTTCCACCGTGGTGAATCCGCTTCTTCCTCTCCACCACCGACCGGTGGGGATTCCGAGGACCGGCGACGCTTCTTCGAGCGCTCGGGGGCCCGGAAGTCACGGACCACCCAGTGACCGGTGCCCTTCAGGAGTTGGAGAAGTGAAGGGCACGGGTCACATACTCCGCAGACCCACAGGTCAGTGGGCCCCTTCCCTTCTCGTTTCTTTTAAAGAAAACCCTTGAGGAGATCGCAGGGGCCATTGGGTAGATCGCCATAGGGAGATCGCAGCCCATTTTCCCTGACAAACCGCAACATATCCCAGACGCTCCATGTATGCCATATATGCCTACATTCACCTGTCAAACCACTCCAATGTAGGTAAATATGACATACATGGAGTGTCTGGGACTGGTGGCCCTGAGCTTTTTATGCTGCATGGAGAACAAATGTGCACGTTCGGGCTGAAGATCCAATGCTTTGATTGGCCGTCCCGTTTGGTGGCAGTTCCATGAGGTCATGCCAGCGGTCCGGAAGTGGTGCTTCCACCAGCTGCATGTTGGTAGAGGATCAAGCTATTGTTCACTTTCATGGCTTTCAGGGAATGCATCTTCGATGTTTGTGCCGCAACACAAAGCGACGAGTCGTCAGGCTATTTGGTGGTGCGCGAGTTGGCGCTGGCCCGATCCCAGAAGGAGCCCAATCTCCCAGTGCTGTGGCTTGGCAGGACAGGTTCTCGTTATGATGAGGTTTTTTCTATCCATGTTTGGGGGGGGTCATTCTATCAAGAGTCTCTATATATATATATACTGTACATTAATATCCTCCTTGAAGTTTTCAATTTTCACTACAAAATGAGACACCCCAGCCTTCTCCCGAACTCACAGGGGGATGCATCAATGTTACACCCTGGAAGATTGACATGGCTTTGGCAGACGATTTTCCTCTACAACCCGACGCGGTTTTCAGGTTCCACGTGGATCACTTCCAGGGCGTAATCGGTGAATGACCAACGGCTGCATCTCCCATGGAGCTGATGGGTATTTTGGGTGATCCAAACCGAGGGTGTTGCGTGGGCTACTTTCCTCTGTACGGGGACGGCTTGTTTGGAGCAGACTCTGCTGTGCGGCTACTGTTTTTCTCTACCTTGCAGTTGCATTAAATTAGTGGCTCAAGGCCAGGAGGAAGAGTTGAAGAAGGGCGAATTCGAAAGCCAATTAGCTTTGTTCCCCGTCAACGTTGGATAGGTCAAACTGGCGTCTACGCTCCAAAGTCCTATATATATATATATACATATATAGATATATATTATATATAAAGAGACTCTTAGCAGTTCAATTCACGTCCTTCGCCTCCAGCGAGCCTCCAGCGAATCGCCCCTTTTGCTTTGAGGTCAGATGCTTCGAGGTCCTTGCGGGATGGGCGAGCGCCCCCGCAGCAGGCGGCAGGACCAGACCCATCGGCCGATGTCGGGGGGTCAGTGGGGCGGGGGTCAGTCGTACCAGAGCTGAAGGGCGAAGAGGTCAGACATCACAGAGGCACTGACGCACCAAGTAGAAGGAGCAGCTTTGACCAGTGCTACGCTGGTACCAGGGCGCCCTATGTGGCTGCTAGACACAGACGGTTCCACCTGCACCAGTTCCGCCAGTGCACCAGGTGCTGGCAGAACTGGAAAAGGTTTGGCTCCCCAGCGACCAGGCGCTACCCGGGCGTTTTTTCGGGCCTTGGTGGGAAGAAGACCGTTTGACTGGCGACGGAGGGATCTTTTGGGTCCTGATTCCTTGGGAACCATGATACACCTGGAACACAATTGACCTCTGTTTTGATAGGAAAAGGCTATATTTTCGGTGGTTGGTGGTCCAGAATAGAGGTCATTCAGGTTCATTTTCTATATCTTAATCAAGGCCTCCAGAAGCGGTTGACACTCTGCACTTGATATGAGGGACGCCTGGAGGGATTGCTGAGCTGTGGGGCACAGTCATGTAGACAAGTTGAAGAAAGCTTTTACTGTATATGAATAACTTTTGCCATCCAAATGTGGCGGTCTATTCATCAAAAGTCTACATGATCTCGAGTCGAATGATTTTTGGTTTCGTGGTCGTCGTGTAGACATGTGTGCTTCTGATCTTCGGGGTTTCCGCGACCATGGAGAGTTGGGTTGGTTGTCCTGGTTTTTCCCTATGGGTGAATCCCCTTCTGGCGCATATTTTTAATTTTTCCGTTTCCCTGAGCGAATCCATGTAATTCGTCGACTAGTGAATGCCATTGCCTCGTCCGTCCGGCCCGAGTTTTTGGAGACTCCTGGGATGGATTTGAGTCAAAGCCCAGTAGCGTTGCAGTTCTCCTGCTCATGCACTGGAACAGAAGGTCATACATTATCTTGAATTCAGCTACACAATAAGTTGTTCATCTAACAGAATCTAACATCTGATCATCTGACATCAATCCGAACATTCTCCCTAGCCATGGATTCAACTCCTTGAACATCCCTTAACATCCCTTAACATGCTACACCCTCCAGGCTCTAGTCGCCCTACCACCTTCCAGGCGCTCCTGGAGGCGCGCGTGTGGCGCGCTCGGGGCCGCCACCGGCGGCTCTTCATGGAGCTCCGCGAGACGGAGCGGTGGAGCGGTTCGCAACGGTGGAGCGGAGTTCGGAGTTCGGAACGGAGAGAGCAAGAAAGGTGGCGAGATCGCATGTGATTCTGTTTTTCGTTGATCCATGTGATCACATGTTTTATCCTCTTTGGTAACTCTATAGATTGATGCCAGATACTGCTCAGGACGATTGAGTTGGGGTTCCTTTTCTGGGGAAGTTCGTTGTTTTATTTTTCTTATAATCACTGCTTGTCTACTATGTCTTGTCCTTTGATTTGAACAAAGCCCGAGATGTCTGGAATTAAACGAGCGAGGGTACAAAATTTATATTTGGTACCAAACTTGGATTTACATTTGATTTGTGAGCCTTCTGGCATGAATGTTGCTGATTCATGTTTACACAGCCTTGCGCCTGCCAATCTCCAGCGTTGCAGTGAGATCCAGCACTTCACCAAAAGCAGCAGAATCTCAGAATCTTCAGTCAAGGTTAAGGTCCTTTTGTTTTTCTCCAGCTTTGTTGACCTAGCTGGACCTATCTTGCCCAAGTTGCGCTGTTTTGCCCCGATCCAGGCCGAAACGCCACCTCGGTGGGGCCGCTGTCGCCCTCAAACGCCGCCGAGCCATGTCAGTTGGCCGATGTCGTCCAGGAGCTGCAAGCGGAGGAGCTTCTGAAGCACTGCGAGCACAGCCGCCGCTTCGACGCGAGGCTTGACCGGCGGATTCGGGCGGTTCGTCTCGTCGCGTCGTTGTGCGTTTTTCGCCAGCGTCAACGGAGGTCAGATCCGTCCAAGTCCATTTACTGTATATAGTACTTCATGCGACTTCCAAAGTCCAAGTTTGACTGGATTTAATACAGCATGTCAGTTATATACTTATAAGTGGTAGATTCGGTAGATCATTCACCCTTGTCATGGTGATCCTTTGATCTCATGGAGACCCCCCCTTTGTCGCGCCTTTGGCCCTCCGTCGTTGCCCAGTCGCTTGGAGCTCCTCCGGACCTTGGCCGCGCACGAGGACGCAGGCGCTCTCCGGTCGAGGAGGAGTCGTCGGTCGTACGGTGCGGTGCGGGTCGTTGGGTTCGCCGCGGAGAGGGGACGGCGCAGGCTGGGACGGTGCGGGTCGCCTTGGCTCACCGGCTCTTGACTTGCGGCACGAATTTCGTCACGGTGCTGAAGCCGTGAAGAGACCAACATGTCTGGGGTTTGGGGTCGCAACTGGGTGCCTGCTGGCGGTGGAGGACTTCTGGGTCACGATATGTTTTGTTGACCCAACGCACTCACTGGGTGATCCGATCACCGATCACCGATCAGCAAGGTGATCCATTTTTTGGGGCTTCCCCTGTTCAGCTTCTTTTGCTTGTGCCGCGTGGCTCACAACGTTCAGGGCTCTAAGTATGCTCAGTGTCATTGGACTGCAACTTTATATGCAAAGAGATGCAAAGAGAAGATCAGGATGGTTTCAGCCGGGTCATGAGAGTTGTATGGTGGGTATCAGGAGGTGTCCACCATGTGATTTGGACCATATCCATTGCTGCATACATTGCACAGATGGCGCTGCGTGTGCTTTGGGCGGCCTCCGGTGAAAGTGCAGCCGTCTTCAGCGACGAGGAGCTTGAAGCTCTGGTGAAACTGAATGGCAACACCATCATGGTGCTAAAGTCAGAACTTATGTCTCGAGGGTTTGGATCAAGGTTTCAACAACGGCTTTTTCATATGAAAGAAGATGCCGAGGTGGATGATGATGCGGTGTTAGCCCCGCCAATGGTGCTGAAGATGGTCAAGCTGACCTTCCTTCCACCACACCAAAAACGAGATGAAGAATTCCTTGTCGCATGCAAGGAAGGACGCCTTCAGGAAGTTGAAACGAGGTTGCATCAGCCTCAGGATCCCAACTGTGCAGATGCGCAGGGCTTTACGGCTTTGCATTTTGCAGCTGCAAATGGCATGTCGGACGTGGTGCGCATATTGCTGGAGGCTGGGGCCTCCTGTGATAGAGCCACATCATATGAAGGCATAACTGCTCTGCACGCTGCTGCTGCCAATGGCAAGTTGGACGTGGTACACTTGTTGCTGCGGGCTAGGGCCTCTTCCAACACTGCAGATGCAGAGCGCAAAACGGCTTTGAATGTGGCAGCTGCCAATGGCCACCCGGAAGTGGTACACTTGTTGCTAGATGCTGGGGCCTCTTCCAACACTGCAGATGCAGAGGGCAAAACGGCTTTGGATGTGGCAGCTGCCAATGGCCGCCTGGAAGTGGTGCGATTGTTGCTAGATGCTGAGGCCTCTTCCAACACTCCAGCTGGAAGCGTCGATTTCTGGGGCGCTGTGCGGGCAAGAGATGGATGGTAATTTCTGACCACTGCATTGTAAGGTGCTGCTTGGAACGGTCACCTGAACGTGGTGCACTTGCTGCTGCAAGCTAGGGCCTCTTGCGATCAAGCAACAGCAAAGGTTTGGTGCAACGCTCTTAGGGCTGCTGCGAAAGGTCGCCTGGAAATGGTTAGTTGCTGAAAGCTTGAGCGACATGATCTTGCACATCCATGGCTGGACTTCTTTGCACTATGCTGCTCGCAATCGTGACCCTGAAGTTGCGCGTTTGTTGCTGCAAGATGCTGCAAGCTGGTGCAACTTGTGAAGATGCCACATCAGACCAAGGTGCAACTGCTTTGCATGTTGCTGCCGAACACACGTCAACTAGAAGCCGTCCGCTGGAGTCTGGCGCTGCCCGCGATGTCACGAATCATGAGGGCGCGGATCACCGCTCCTTTGGAGCTTGCAGCGGAGCAGGGCTTTCCTGCAGAATGCTGTGGGGGCGAGGCTCAAGAGAGCACCTGTGCCATGGTGCTCAGATGAACGGAAAAGGGATGACAAGGGTGTTCGCTGATCTCAGTCAGATAGAACGGAGCTCATTCAGCTGTCAATGAAACTCCCATCATAACCTCTTCCAGAATCATTCCCAGAATCATTTTTTCCTTTCCGGTTCACGTGTTGCGGTGCTTTAGGTCTTGACATGTCTTGACCAACTTCAGAAAAATTGCCTGGTCCCCCTCGAACAGCTGGAAGAACTCCCCCACTACACTACCTGGAGCCCCTTGACATTTTGACAGAACATGGTATTTTTTTGAATGATGAGATTTCTGTAAGTATGCCCCTTGAACCAGTACGTGGGAAGGTGGGATTCAGCATCGTTTCCACGAACCGACGGAGAACTGGCCGGTGAAGACCGGAGACGCCGGAGACGCCGGAGACCCTCTTGACGGGTGCGCTGGACCGGCGAAGTGGCTCACGACCCCTTTCCTCCACGAGTGGTGGATGTTCTTCCAAATCCTGTGCCAAAGATCCGGGAGTCGTTTCTGGAGATGCCACAGATTTGGATGGTGAGTTTGGGGATGTGAACTTGGAAAGGGGGTTTCTCAAAAACACGTTCGTTCTGCTCTTTAAACGCTATGGCTGGTTTAGGATGAGGCTCGTCCGCTGATTTCAGCTCCAGGCATGCTGGCGGAACGGAGCTGCGAAAAGAGACGCATGGCAGGGCCAGGAATTAGGGCGGGACTTGGTGCACAGGATAACCAAGCGAATTCCTCCAGGTTTCAATGGCTTTGTCCTAAGATACATGTGCGGCAGTAGAGTTGAAAGAGGCCACCTCCTTCATAGTGTTTGGTCTCAGAACTTTTCCTCAAGCAGCCAAGGTCACTTCATTGGTCTTCACCCGTGTTTTTTTCTGTGACCCTTGGGCTGACAAGGTACGGTACTACAGGGATCAGTTGAAGTGTAGCTCGAACAGAGTCAAACATTCCTTAACTTCATCGCCGTCAAGGAGAACGGAACCGCGACATCGGCCCTGACCACCAACATCGGCCCTGACCACCACATCGGCGAACGCCACCGGTCTTCCGGTTCGCCAGACACTCCATGTATGGGATATGCCCAAGGTATGCCTCTGGGACCTCTCCAAGGAAGGGCTTTTCATGTGCCAAGTGCCATTGGTCGTGTGGGGAAGATGAAGCAGGATTGGTTCCGTACCTGGCGGGTGGGCACCCTGCCCAGCTACCCAGCTTTACCCGGCTGCCGGTGAGTCGGAGTGTTTGTAAAGGGACCGCAGGCGGGTGGGGCCCGAACAGTGCAAGAAGCAGAGAGGACTACTTCAAGTGACTACTAATTAGTGACAGCGTAGTAGAGCAAAGAAGCAGCCATGGGCCATGGGCAACCTGAAGTGACTGCCACTGAAGTGACTGGCCTTCCACTTTTCGACACATGGATAGCTCACTTTGACACCCAAGATTTCCCATCCGGCAGCCCAACGTCGCATTTGCTTGTTGCAACTGCTAATGCCGTTCGCGCTGATCTTGAACGACGGCCCAAAGAGGCTCGGGCGACGGACCATCGAGGGACCCGTCGTGCTTGGGTGACGTAGTGACTGGACTACAGACTTGAGGATGCTTGTGGTGCTCAATAAGAATTGAGGAACCCTTGGCCCTAGGTAGGCCCAGAGGTTTGAAGCGCTTTGTTATTTTGTTGTGAGCTGTTTTTTTGGATTTCGGAGTTTTCAATGTGTTTTTTTGTGTGAGCAGTCCTTCCAAAGGGTGCCCTTCACAGCTACTGTAGCAGCTACCAGTTGGGTTGCTCTTGCGAACAGATCCCCAGCTGAAAGCTTTTCCCAGTCAGCTTGGCAGATGGTTATAGAGCACTGGATTAATAATACCCCTGCTTGTAAGAGTGTCACCACAAAAAACACGGCAGTCAGGCTAGTCAGGAAAATTGAATTGTTCCCAAGCGGGAAGCAAGTGGAATTTGAGGGCTTTATACATATATATATATATATCACATGAGCTTTCTCCCATGCCCACTGCTAACCAGTTGGTCTATGTCTATGTGGCCGTGAGTCACAAACCTGGATCCCCTATCACCCTGGTAGGTTGACCATGTTTGGTAGTCTATTCTGTTCATTTTTTGTGGTCAGCCATATGACTCATTTGGGATAAGACTTGGGCATTCCCAACCCCAAGAGGCAACACCAGGGGCAAGCCCGTTTCAACGACGGCCTCTCGAGAGGCCCGACGTCTGCATCAGCTGCGGTCAACATGGACAGTCCTTAAAAGCGTTTTTTGTAGTGGAGTGATGCGCAGCAGAAACTGACGTTCTTGATTTGCACACGCAAGGCTTTGAAGGGCGTTGTATCCTGGACGATGCATGAAAATGCTGGGAAATCCATGCAAGATAGCTTCTCAGACCTTTTTCGGAAGGTGTGTAAACAAACCAAGAAGAGTCTAAGCGGCCCCGTTTTATTGAAGCTGGGCTCAGTTATTGACAATATATATATATATACACAGTAAATTGCAAGTGTTCACAAGCAACATCTTTTTTGTTGCTCGTTGGCAGTTTGAAACAGATTGTTTAGAGAATGGAACCGTAAATTACGTCCGTATATAAAACACTGGCATGCACTGGCATCGCGCTCCAGAATGCTGCCTGTAGCATCAGGTGTAGGTGCTTTTGCGACCTGTCTATTTAAGTATACTTTCCTCTAGCCCTGGCATTGCCTGTTTAGTTTGAACCACAAAATGTGATAATCGCGTTCATTACTTGAAGGGTTGATGGCAGTCTCTACTATATATAGAGTGAACTCTTTGAACGTTTCTGAGTAGGTTCTTCAGCCCCTCCAGCTGAGGTGCATGTTTGCCCAACCCAAGTGATGCAAACACCTTCGAGCTTCCGCCGAATCGAACCTCGGGATTTGGAACCATCGAATTGTGAGCCAGTGCCGGGGAGCCAGTCCCCAGAATTGAGCTGCACTGAGAATCCGGGCCCGAACCAACACCTATATGACATATATGTTATAGGCTATAGGACCTTGAGGGTCCGCCCCCCTGCCGTGGGCCTAAGAATGTCCGGTGGTCCGATCTGGGGGCCGCGAACAGTGGCGGCATCGGTCCTAAGCAAGAGGTGTCCTATTTCTGTGCTTCTAGTGTATGAGCCCCCCATATGATGTTCAGTTCCTGCCTGAAGTATTAGATTGAGCCGCTATGGAACATGGTCCTTAGAAAAGACATATGTATATATATATATACACATATACACATTGTACAAATAAGTCAAGGCACAACCATCCATATCCATTCAACATCCAACACCTTTTGTCCTCAGCAAATATCGCTGGAAGATTGCTTCAAGATGAGATGTCCTGTTTCCGCAGCGCATCCCGCCGAGTCCTTTCTTTGCACGTGTATCGCGTGCTGCCGCAGGATGTCACTGTTAGCATCCATGATTGGAAAAGCCTCTCCCAGTGCGAGCCTCACTTGCCACGTAGGGGTCTGACACCTTTGTAGGATCTTAAGGACCTTAAGTGTTTGAAACCGCCAATGCAACCGCATGTTTTGGCGGTTTCAATATCTCCTTCATCGATGATCTCAGTCCATGAACTCATCGAAACAGGAGTTGTTTGCCCTTTTTTCAGGAACAGATCTACCATGGCATGACCCCTTGCAGGGTCCGGGATGGGACGCCACCGACGTCCAACCAGGTCTGAGATCATCGTGCGGCACCTCTATGTGATCCTCCAGTGGGGCAGCACAGCGGTCTGGGCAAGGAGGATGGTTGGATACTGCGCTTGGTCGGCTTGGTTGGAAGCGTGGTGGTTGTGTTGGGTTGACTTGGTGGTTGGTGGTTGCTGGGCTTGGTTGGGTTGGTTGGACATGTTGGAATATGTTAGACATTGTTTGACAGCATTTGACACATTTGACAAGCCGACAGCCGATAGTCAATCCAATCTTTCAACTGGTTCAAGACGGGTCACAGATGCAGCGAATTCCATCAGATCGAATTCCGTCTGGCGAATTGCACATGTGTTTGATCGTTTATCCCTCAGACCTTAAGGAGGGGGAGTCTGTCGGCACCTCCTCCATCCCAGCGCCGTTTCCCGCGCGCCACGGGGTCGTCCGACCCGGAAGTTGAGTTTTCAGCTCCGAGAGCCTGAACTGAACAGCCGACACACGGCTCTATGGTTGGAAGGGCTTCAGAGCAGGGGGTGTCCTTAAACACAGCTTGTTGCTGTTCGTTGGTTCCACCGCACGAATCCGGGCATGTTCTAATAGCCTGAACGAATCCGATTCAGCGTTCGAAAGCATTGGACGGCACAGACGAAGCATGTGAACTGGGTGTGGTGCGCACGCACCCACGAAAGAAGTCCAGGAACAAGTCCAGGAACAAACAACGAGACGCATTGTATTTTCAGGCAAACCTCAAAGCACTCCTCCAAAAATGGGTTTCCCATTTCGAGTGGGTTTCCCATTTTGTTCTGCCCACGGGTCCTGGGTCGCATGGACACCTCATGTGTGGGCTGAACGGGGCGCATCAGCCTGTGCCGACGGTGGCCGATGGAGCGGCTGCCGACGGTTCAGCTGTGGCCGGCAAGCTCTGGAGACTGGTCACAAGCGACAGGTTGGACTCTAACATCGGGCAAACATCTTCCAACCACCACAAGAGGCGGTCTCAGTTGGACCCTTTAAGCAGACCAGCTTGGGAGATATATAGTAATATATACAATATGCAGTGGTTGGAATCGAGATTCCCGGGTCCATGCATAGTTGTCGACATCGGGTTTAGATGTGGTGGATGTATGTCCAACAATGGTTTGGAACTGTTGACAGCTTGACGATCAACCACGCTTTTTCACACAATCGAAGAATAACAGTACTTGACGAGTTTCTTGTGCCTGACAGATGAACAAGGCACGGCCAACTCGTCTTGCACTGAACAAAACCCAGTGCACTCGCTGAAGCTGTTTTTTTTCTGATTTTTTCTGAAAAGGGGTGTTTTGCTGTGTTTTGTTTGGCCCGGTGTTTAGATGAGAGCTTTAAGGGGTTCTGATTTTGGAGACCGGTATGGTGCTCGGAGGGCCCCAAATGGGGGGCAAACATCGTTTCGATGAGCTCGGTTCGCCGGTGGCACCCGCACCGCCGCAGACCGCACGGTGCGGGGGCAGGGTGGATTCGCACGGGCCGTCTTCGCGGTTGGTCCTCGTGAGGACACAAGCAGTATTTCCTGACCTATTTCGCGCAGGGCCTAGGTTGGGGAGCCCGGAGATGGGGCTGGAAGCAGCCCCAACTACAAGTCGCACAAGATGATGCGCAGCTGAGATCCGACGTTGCGGTTGCATAACAGAGTCACAGTTGAAGATGTTTAGGGGGGCTGCAATGACCACACAAATAGCAAGTAATACTTTTGAATTTCACAATGGACCAAAATATCGGATAACGCGAATACTTGAAAACGTCAGCAGATACCAAACCATAATTCACTACAAGGACACAATGACCACAGAAATAGAAAACACATGAAAACACGATATATATATATATATATTTAATGTACTTAACAAAAAATTATTTCGAATTTTCACCAATGTACTTCACCAATGTACTTCACTTATATATATATATATATTTTAGAATTTCACCAATGTACTTAACAAAAAATTGGATAAGGCGAATCATAGAACATGTCAGTAGATACCATGATTCACTACAAGGAAACCATGACCACACATTTTGAGGCCATGTGTTACGCCTTTTGGTCATAGCTCGGCTTTCACCCGACGAACCATAACAGGCCACCAGGCTGGCTGGGGGCGGGGCGCCCGCCCACCCACGAGGCCGTGTGGGGAAGGAGTACCTCAAAAGTTCTGCGAGCTTGGCCTTGAGCATCTTGGAAGATCAAAAGATAGAAGCCCGGTTGAAACATTTCGACCCATTTGAAGGCTCGCTCGGTTTTTGGATTTGGTGGAAAACCCTTGGTACAACAGACCAGTAAAACATTGGTGGTTGGAATCCAGGGGAAGTGTGAATTTGTGTGGTACAGTCGGGCATCTCAGGTGCTTGTACGCAGGCAAAAACACTGGAGAAGCCTGCTTGCAGTCACATTCAGGGGTCCATTGTGTTGCAAAGTGGGTAGAGAAGATCTTCCTCCGCGCGACGCGTTGTGTTGAGAGTCCCCACGATCGGTAGTGAAACACCAAACGGACCTCATCCGATCTCCGGCCCCATCGGCTCTTCAAGTGAGTTGAGAGCACAAGATCACAAGATCTTATTCTCAACCTCGCTGAGGCATGGGGGAGCTTCAGCTCTTCAGAGACTTCGCCTGGACGTGTTTTGCAAATTTTTTAGTTATTTTTCTGAATTGCACCTCACCGCAAGTGGCGAAACTTGGTGTTGGAGTCCAATCATTGGTTGTTGTTCTTCGTTTGGTTTTCTTTTTTCCTTTGTCCCTCAATGCACGGGAACTGGGAAATCACCGGGATCGTTTCAGGATGCGCGTTGCCTCAAGATCATCCTGAATCTAAGGTAATCTCCTTCCCGAATTCGGAAGCCTCCCCTGGGCTCTTAAGCCGCTCTTCGTTCTGGTGATCGAACGGACTTGCTCCTCCCGAGGCGCTTGGGTTGGGTGGTCATGATGTTTTTATTATAGGGTTGGGTTGATTGGGTTGGAGCATGGGACACAGAGGACCCACACAGCGCAGATGAGAGGTCCAATATCCCTTCAAGGGATCAATCAACCCTTTGGAGGGCTGTTCAGCCCGTGGGTTCTGCGTGGTGTCATGAGGGCACAGGATTTGCATCTTCCAGACTTTAGACTTGTAGGCTCACTTCCACACCGGGCTAGCTTGGCAAGTCGTTTCGATAGGGATGATAGCTGGGCGCTCATGGGCCCGCCTGCTGTTGGGGTGGGGCTTCTTGGCGTCACGGCGTCACGGTTTTCTTTCATGCAGGTTTTCACAGATCAGCTGTCTTGGGAAGTTGGAAGGGAGCTGAAGTTGGAAGTTGTATGGGGTTGGCTTTTCCATGTTTTTTGTCCACCTTGATTGTTTCAGACAGGGTGGGAGGGGTGTAGCTGATGCTCACTGAAGGTCTGTATTGAAATCAAAGAGACCTCCCGGTCTCACCTCCGCCCGGAACCCATTTAGGTGATCTGGATCTGTTTCAAGATGCTTCAATGTTTCAAGGTCAAGGCCTGGTCTTAGCCGCGGCAGCCGCTGTGACTTCCTTGGCCTGGTTGGCGCTAGCGATGCTGGAGGCCTGGGCCATTCTCCTCCCCGACTCACGTTCAATCAAAGGTGGATGGCCGAGACATGGGAAGGTCCGAGCATGCACTCTGCAGAAACATCGGGATCTTAGCACTTCCATGAGCCACTTGGAGTTTCAGCACCTCCCCTCCCCCCTCCCCCCCAAATCCAGCAACTTCGTGTGGTGCATGGGGGCCTCCTGCTGGCCCAGGTCTCCTCGTCCACCCTGCTCTGGGCCACGGCCCTGCTGTCCGTGGCCTCAGCGCTGGTGGATGGCCTCACCGACGGCCGCATCGCCGTGGAGTCGGCGGAGTCGGCGGAGTCCGCGGACGCCGCGGCGCAGCTGCAGCGGCTGTGCCAGACGGGGCATAGCTTGGGGGCCTTGCTCGTGACGTGGCGACAGTGACAGAGTGGGGTGGGGAAACATGGAAAAGAGGTGGCCCCCAAAATGAGGAACACCATCATTTCTTGGTGGGGAGGGATGGACAGATTTATTGTGATTTATTCTTCAAGGATAGTTCAATGTTGCAGGTGGCGTTTGAAACATTTTGAAATGCAATTCGAGCCCGGAAATTGAGAAGACTGGTGCAAGGTGGGCTTTTCTGCTTGGCTCTTCAGCTTTTCGGATTGCTTCACTTTGGCTTTCACTTCCCTCGCCTGGGCATCCATTGCGCCCTTTGCTCTCAGTGCATCTCACACTTCGAGGAAGGTGGCTAAGCACTCGCGGCCCGCACCGACCACGTGGTGGACACCACCGACGCTGGTGGTCTCAGCGCTCAGCTTCGCCGTGTGCGTGGCTCCACCGGCGGATCTCTTCTTGCACCTGGGAAGCATCCGCTGCAAGTGATGACCACTCGAGTGGAAAGCAATGGAAGTGGAACAGTGAAGAGAACCCTGGAAGAAAGATGCTCAAGGCTCCTAACTACAGTGGAATGAAGTGGACCATAGGCCACTGCAAGGCCATGTTTCTCTTAAGTGTTCACGTGGATTTCAACTGCCATGATTCTTTCAGGGCCTGTTATCCCACCAAGGGCGCATGGTAACTTTGGTCATTCACGTCGAAATGTCCTTGGTGAATGAATTGGAGACCTGTTGCCAGTTTTTTTGGGGTTGATGAACGCCCTAAACCATCACTAGATCCCGTCTTCCAAGATGACTTCCAAGATGTTGAGGCAGTTTTCTGGTGATGTTGGTGGCACCTGTTGGGGTTGAATTGTTTGAGCCAACCATAAAGTTATAATTTCTCCACTGGCTCGCACCGGGCAACATGAACCGATTTTCCAGGTATCGCCAACATGTCTTGGGCTTACAAAACTTCCACCAACCTATCGTCTCCATTGCTGGGACCGTTGGCTGGTTCACTTGCACCTTACTCTACCGCAACATCTCTGGCGTCGATCGTGGTGCTGGCGGTGCAGATGCCGCCCATGCGCCCAGTGTGAGCGCTTTACGGCGGTGCTTGAGATGGTGGCCCTTCCCAATGTTGGCCAAGGCACGGAAGGATGTTGGCCTACCAATGTGGTACCTGTCAACACATGGAAACAACAGCTGTTTGATTGATTGAGATATTCATTGCATGGAGTTCTGCTTGCTACTTCCAGAATCTATTACAAAGGGCGTTGCAGAGAGGAGTCGGTGGGAAGGAGAGGGTGGTTCCAGAATGTTTCGATATTCTATTGCTAACTTCAGGATGTTGATGGCACTGTCCTCCCAAAAAGGCCATCACAAGCTGAGGTTCCCATTTTCATGATTAGGGACTGACTGACCATGACTGACCGACATCGGGGGCCTGTCAGCCTTTACCCTCGAGGTCTTCATCCTCCTGGCTCCCTCCACGGCCTTTCAGCTACCACTGGTGCTGCTCGAGAGCGCAGCCCACGAGTTTGGCAAGGCATTGACCTTCCTTCCCGTCGCCCGGGTCGCAGCAAATCCATGGCGCATCGTCGAGTGGCGTGTTTCCTTTACAAACCAGTGGTTTTCAGGGTCCATGGTAGTTTTCGATGGGGTAAGTGGTGGTGGGATATGGTCGTTTTTTGCTGGAAATGTGGCTCGCCCGGAGAGGACCGTGCACGAAAAGCGCTCTGCAAAAAGACACACTGCAAGGTGACGGTTCTGCAGCAACTCCATGCAGTGGAGGGGTCCGAAGGCAGCTGCTTCAGCTTGATGCAAGCTGCAGGGACGCTGGGGATGGTGCTCGGGCGGAACTTGGAATCCTGGCAGGACGAACTCTGGAGCCTTGAGGTTGCTGGAGAGGGAAGATTGAGGGAAGATAGGTTTTCTGGGGTGATGAGGCACCTCTTGGGATCTATGCCGCTGACCTCGTGAAAGAGGTAATACATATATATGTATATGTGTGTGTATACCAATATATATATATAGATGTCAATTGGGGTCATGTTAAGAGGTGGAGCACAGAAGGAACCAAGAAGCCCAGAGGGTCCAGAGGGTTCAGGAGAATCCGACTTGGATGTAGGTGGAGCCGGGGCCTCATTTCGATCACAATTCAGTTCACCTCCACCATCCTGGCGGGATGGTAGAGGATGTTTCACTAGCATGAGATGCCCAGGCTCTGTCCCTCTCTAAGAGGTTTTCTGGTAGAAGGCGGCGAGCACTCATTCCAGTGTCTCTTTGGAACGCGAATGCTAATTTTGACGCCATTCCAGATGCTCGAGAGGAATACCCATCCAAAGGGTCTCCAACGGACTACCCTAACTTATCTCTGCTTAAATGGAATTGAATTTTGATTGGGGCACCCCGAAAGGAAGGTGCTGGTGCCTGGGTTTGTGAAACCCAAGAGAGTAAGATTTGAACAAGCGGAGCGGTGGAGCTCTCGAGCCCCGAAGGCATGAACGTAAAGCGATGCCCGGTGTGGGTTCTAGTCTAGGGGCATCTAGTGGTATACTGTAACGGTCACGTCATAGGCATAGGTTAAGTTCTTTCTTCTTCAATCCTCGCCATTGCCGTGACCCTTTAAAGGTGTGGATATATGAAATCCTGGTGTGCTTCCCTGATGTTTCTCAGGTGTCCCCATTGACGATCGCATTGGGTTTTGTTGGCACAGAGGATTGAACCTAGGCATCGGCAGGATCTTTGTGTGGATCTCATTTCTGCACACACCCCGAAATCATCATGGAAGATGGAGTGAGTCCGCCACAGCCTGTATATTCATGACCATGGTTATCATTCCGGTGGCCGTCCGCGGTTTCCGGTTCTTTCCAGGGAGTGTAGAACCTTCAGATCCCAGGAATGGCAGCTCCTCTATATCTGCGGAGTGGACCTTGGCCATGGCGCGGAAGGCTTTCGTAACTTCCCTGCACTGCTGCTGGTGGCGCTGCTGTGGCGACTGTTGACGGTTCTGGCGCTGATGAAGCTGTTGATTCCCTTGCTCGAGCGGTCAAAAGGGGCGAGCCAAAATAGAGAGTCCAGGTCGTTGGGAGGATGACTCTCTTTTCAAATTCGCATAGAAAGACTGCCCAGATTCACTCCTTTGCACCCCTTTTTGTTGCGGGGCGGCCCGCTCCGACTCGTAGTAGAGATAGTAGAGGAATGAAGTAGCAAGAAAACCTGAACACTGGCTGATATTGCAACAACACGACTCGACAGGGGCCAACCCAGTTCGTGGCAAACCTTACATCACATCCTTGTAGAGTTTTGTGGATTGGCTTCCTGTCAATTTAGAATAATTAGCTAAAAGAGTTCTCTAACCACTTGCTGGATGAACATGCATGAACTCATGACATCTACCTTTTTTTAAACCTACTCCATGGAGGTTAACCCATGGAACCCTCCACCTGCTGCAAGCCAATTCGTGAAAAGACTTGTTTGGTGGGATGACGCCAAACCCAGCTTGAAATGGTGGGCCGAACCCTGCCCCAACGAGATAGGATGCTTTAAGAAGCAATCTTGCTTGCTACTCTCCTCTCTTCACATCTTGAGGGGTCCAGAATACATCACACTACTCCATCGCGACGCAGGGTCAGTGGGCAAAGCCACCACACACACATCCCCCAAACCAACGCACCACACGAGATGGTTTGTTGCCTGTTTGTTGCCTTCCATTGGGAAAGGCCGAGGAAGTTGCACTGTGTTTCTCCGATTCCTGGCAGAGTGCTGAAGGATCCGCCCAGAGATCCTCGGATCTCATCCTCCATCTCTCTCAGGATTGGTCAGACCATCCGGAGAGGACCGCGAGCTTCAAGGGTTCTTCTGCGCTCCGCGCGATAGCGTGCAAGCGAAACGGAGGGGCGAGCGCGCGGAGGTTGGACACCTTGGTGACTTTTTCCCAAGCAAGCGCTTTACGCTTGCATCTCGCCCCAATCTTGATCATGTCCTTGCAAACAAAAGGCCTGAGATTGTGAGCCGAAGGGCTCAGTTGGTATGACCGGTGAGTGAGATGGTCATTGCCAGTGTAAGCCACCATCGCTCGTGCACTTTTCTAGCTGATCAACATGGCATGCTGATCCTTGCATGAATCTTGACAAACTGGATTCGAACCAAAGGGCCTCATGGGCTCGAGGATGGTCCAAATGCGCCGTCCAAATGCTGACCTCGACGCGGGCGACGTGTGTTTTGGGGACTGCACCCTGGCTCATGTGAGAATGATCTCTGTAGGGCACGAAGCTCCTTCAGAACTTGGCTCCACTTCCATATGAGTCAGTCGGAGTGTATGATGCTTGTGGCATGCCCCCCTTCCCTCCGCCAGGAACCGGTTTGTCCATCCGTGATGCGGAATTCCGCTCGGGCTCTGTTTGGGGGGCCCAGTCCGAACCGAGCCAGGTCCGGTCAGCTCGTAAGCCCCAGCAGCTGAGGCCGAGATCCCCTTGATTCTCAGCATCAAGAACAGCCAGACAGAGACCACCATGTGAGCCGAATGAGGAGCCAATTTGGATCACTGGCTTGCGGAGTTGGGCGGGTTTCCGATCGCCGCCATGTCACTTCCAGTTCACCATTTTGGTTAGTTCCCTGTGGATGGCGAAGTCGGTGGAAGGTCGACTACCACTGTCCACCGGCCACGTCCTGGCGGGTTCCGGCCGTTCCGGCGCGGCGTTCGGCGTCGTTCCGCCAGGTACGTGCGGAACATCCCCATGTCGGCCGTGCTGGATCGCGGGGGTTTGGAGCAACGCTGGGTCGCCGTGTGTCCGGCATGGCGTGGGATCGCGTGGGGGGGAGAAGCCCGTGGGAGAAGCCCGGTGCAGGCGACGGGAAGGTGGGGTCAGGTGTGTGTGGTTGGATTCCTTTGAGATGCACCTTCATTTAGCAGCTAGCACGATGTTCCATGAAATCAAGATCATCCAGTTCCCACGCACCTAGTCTCGTCCGAGTTTGATCCACAGGGCAGTGAATCGTTTGGGGTCGGGAGTGTTAACAAGAAGTCCTGGCAGGAGGCTTGGAAGCATCAGGGATCAAAGAAAGATAAGAAGGAAGAAGATGGAAGAAGAAGAAGAAGAAGAGGAAGAAGAAGAAGGAAGAGGTTGAGGAAGAGGAAGAGGCAGAGAGAAAGGTCCGCAAGTTGCAACTCATGACTCATGAGTCACGAGCCTGCTTTATGAGCACTGACACCTTTGTCATTTTATGTTCCTCATTCTGCGCTTTCCTCATTTATTGAGTAAGGAGCACCCCATAATCATAAGATGCCACAAATATCCACAAATCCATACTCACTAGAACTATAGCTGAAAAAATATGCCAATCCGGTTCAAGAAAAGAAAAAGAAGAAGAAGAAGAAGAATACAAATAATCAGAAACAGCAGAAGAAGAATAATAAGAAGAAGATGAGACAATTACTGTATATAAGCTGGATTGATTCCAGGTGCATGATGGCAGAGGAGAAGGATCCAAAAACGTTATACACCCTGAAACAATCAGGGAAGTGGATGGCACGGGCTGCTTGGATGTCCATTTTCCTCATACCAAACTTTACCAGCCAGCTGGTTTTCCACTTCCATGCTAGTTTTCCTCGAAGTCTGCCTCTTGCATCCTCTTCCATCCTATTCCCGCTTTGGGTTGATGTTGCCGCTTCTTCGGAGAATCTACCCCCAAAATGTCTCGACCGCACAAATCGAGCCTGTTACTGCACCCCCCTGCTTCCTCACATTGAAGATGACTTCTTCCCGTGTTCCACTTTTCTGCGAGCCGAATTCCTCACACTTTCATGGGAGAAGACCTATGTTGACCATCAATTGGCCGTGAGCAGTGTTCACTGTGCTTGATGGACACCATGTAAAACCATCGGACCACCGAAGCCACCATGGTTTCAAAGTTAAAACTAAAACGATATCGAAACGCTATGTTAGATTTCCCATGTACTGTGTGATGTTTGCGCAGTAGTTTCAAATCAGTGCTTCTGCAGACATGCAGCCATTGAGTACAGTAACTTGTGGAGTTGTTGTTCCCTTAAAGTTCATTTTCTGGGCCTAACCTAACCGTTGAAGTTTCCAAAAGTTATGCTCCGAACCTGAACCTAACAACTGTTCAAGTCTCCAAATTTAGGTTCAGAATCTGAACCTGTCACCTTGCAACACAATCTATTAATGCTAAAAGGTTTTTCACCGTTATGTTGCTTTGTTCATTCATATGGAACATATCGCACTGGAGCAATCACCATCAATCACCAAATGTTTTTAACACAATGGTGGAGAGTTTCTGCAAACGAGAACATGTATATGGTAGGTTGCTCTTTTGGTTAGGAGCTCTGTGAAAAATAGAGCATTGAGTGATTCTCACTTCTCACCCAGCGGTACATTGAGATAATCTGCGCCAGAAACAATCATTAATCCTATAACTAACATTCCAACGAACGGCAGCCAGTCGACGCCAGCATCCGGCCTAAAACTCCCAAGAGACCAAGTAAGGCAGTAAGGCAGCCCACCACACTCCAAAGCCACTCAGAACATCTCGGATCTAATTTTTGCGGGGCAAAGTCGAAGCCTCCCAAAGTCTCAAGTCAACCACATCCAATGGTTTGGGGGCTCAATGTAGGCATATATGGCATTCATGGAGTGTCTGGGTATTGACTCTTTGTGCAAACTAGCTGTGACAATTGGCTTGGCGCGACCTTGTGGCCCACTCAAGTTGAGCATGTGTTTGGATTATTTTTGATTGCTTCCGCGCACTCAACAGGGCCATGCCACGCGGGAAAGACGATGCTCCTGGGCCTTACAAACGGATCCTTCAGGTCTACTACCTCAGCCACGTACAGGGCGAGCCAAGCCCATGGCTCCACACACAACGGTGGGAACCCAATGGGAAGAGGACCTTTCGGTGCAGCTTCACGCCCTCCACCTCGAATCCGACCGGGCTCCAAGTCAACGGCAAAAATGATGGAGATTGGCAGGATGCGTTGGAGGACCTGGAGCTGCAACGGGTGACACAATCTAGAGAAGCGCCCCCTAATATAAGAGGGCAAAATACGTGGCACGTGTTGTGGAGTTCCTGCACAATTTTCTGTCAGTGGTTGCATCTTTTGGGTTTGTGGTGCGTGTTGCAGTAAGCAAGAGAGCTTCACACAAGGTGTGCTACGTTTCCATGGGTCCTTCTAAATTTTGCCCTCCGATGGCTCGCAAAAGGTGTGCTACATTGCTCTAAACTTCCCCCTTGGGTGGCTCACCTATGCTACGGTTTTTCATGGATCCGTCTCTACATGTTACAATCCAGATGGCTCGCAAAAAGGTATGGATGAAACGGCCGCTTCCTTTTCCAGCCCTGGGATGGCTCTCTGGCTCAGTTTTCGGATTGGCTCCGTCTTAAAACCGTTGGACGGCTCGCGGCTGAGATACGTGACGGATGGCTCCGACTCCCCACCGTCCGGAGGGGTGGTCCGAACTGCTGACTTTGGAGCTAAGCGTTGGGGAGACTTGGCCTTTCAACGGCAAAAAAGAAGGGTGAAATAGGTTAGTTCCACACCTCCAAGAAGTCCTGGCAACTTCTAAAGGTTAACCACTAACCACCTTCTCAAAACATAATGATTGTATTGTACCTCGACCTTGTGCCAAATTGATGTCGGATTAGATCCATAGGTCGATATCGATGTCTATCGATCTATTTGTCGATCTATCTAGATTTACTATATAGTCTGTCTAGTGGCGTATCTGTGGCACCAGACAAGCTGGGATGCAAGAAATGCAGTCCAATGTCGTGTCCGTTGGTTTGCCCCCGGTAGCCCTCGTGTTTTTGCGGCTAGACCGGCCACAAGTGTGCCAGGTCTATCCTCCAGGTGATCCCCTGAACTTGCACTTTGACCCCAATCAGCTCCCTCGCGATGGGTCTCCTCAGGTGGGACTGCCGCGTGGAGTGTGAAAAAAGAGGGTTCCGGGCACCGAACGCGTAAAAGCAAGCGGGATGCAGGAACCTGTTCTGCGGAATCAGCGGTTCTGTTGAATCATATGTATCTTTTAAAAGAGATTAACTAATCAGTTTGTAACTTTTGTAATGGATTTGAGTCCATCAACAGTATGATGAGGCACTTTTTCTATTCGAAGCAACCTGGTCGAAGTTGTCCTTGGAGCATGCGATGGGTTATATATACGGGGGAGGCAACCTGAATTTTGGTTGAATATATATATATATATATTATATAAATTCAATGTTATTCCAATAGAATTTGGGATGAGTGATCCCAAATCCCAGGACTATTTCGGCCAGACTCAGGGCCCTCAGTGGGCCAGTCGAGTCGGGTTTCTTTGGGGGGACGGATGGCACCGGGCCGACACGCGCACGCGCGCGGAACGAACGCGCGCCGGCCGTGACGAGCAGGTCTGCCTCAGCGTGGCGGTGCATGAAGACCTTTTAGCCACGGTGGTCGGCGCGGCCCAGGGGCCCCGGGCGCGGCCTGGGTCCGGTGGGGCGAGGGGTCAAAGTATGTTTCTTTCCGGATCAAGAAACTACTTCCGGAGCAAAAAAGATCAGCATCAAAAACACATTAAAGAAAGAAGGAAGGAAGGAAGGAAGAAAGGAAGGAAAGAGGACAGATCATTCCTGACGCCCGCAGATGCCAAGCTTGAAATGATCTTGTAGCTCGTGCCCCGATCCCCCTCTCCAGCTTTTATTTTCCTTCAAGGACAAGCACCCCTCTTGTCTCACCCCCACACCTTTACGAAGGTAAGGTCATCCAAGTCCCTTTGAATTCTTTACTCTGCTTATCTGTTTGTTCTGCTACACGACTATTTGTCATTCTTTTGGGGAGGGCGCAGTGCCCTCCCTCCAGTCCCCCTCCAGCTGGTGTTTTAACGGCAAGAACAGCCCCTACCTCCCTGACGTTTCATTATTTGTCCTTTGATATTTGCCTTGCTACTGAACGTTTTGCAGACACCACTCTCATCTCATTTCGTCAAAGGTAAGCGCTGCCTACCACGGAAGTTTAGCAGGCGCATCCAAAAGAGAGTTCTTGGGTAAAAATTGTTTGGTTGCGCCCCCGATCCCCCCCTCCAGTCTTTATTTTGTTTCAGGGCCAAGCGCCTCTCGTCTCACCTTCCACGCCCTAGCGAAGGTAGGGTCATCTAAGTCCCTTTGAATTCTTCTCCATTTCTTTTCTTTGCTTGTCTATTTGTTTTGCTGCCCGACTATTTGTCATTCTTTGGGGAGAGGCCCCCTCCAGCTTTTATTTGTACGGCCAAAGCGAACCGCACCTCCCTCATTGCAGCTTGCCGAAAGCTATGTCTATCTGTCCTTCGCTTCTTGGCTTCGATGTTTGCTCTGCTACTGAGCGTTCGACAGACACCAGTCTCATCCAATCTCATCTCATTTCTTCGAAGGTAAACACTGCCTACCACGGAAGTTCAGCAGGCACATCCAAAAGAGAATGCTTCAGAATCCAGGGGCGTCAACAATGACATGCAGAGGGTCAAAAAAAACATCAGCCGACAACAAAAACATGTTTCTTCCTTGTTTGATAGTACAACCATGGAATATGTTTTTGATACTGCTTAATTTGTTTGATTAATTATTGTTTGTTATTTTTGATCTAAAATTTCTTATGTTGATCCTTTAGTCCAGAAAGTGCCCACCCGTTGGATGAGGAGGCCGGCCTGAAGCTCGTGTTTGAGTTGTAGATGTTGTATGGATGAGGGAACGATTTTTTTGGCCCAGTGAAGGTGGTGTTCAATGAGGTCTTCTTGAAGTCTTTCCAGCTACTCTGGGGTGACAACATAATACCCATGCAATTCTTGTGTTTGGGAATTATTGGCACCGTGGCGAGTGTTTGCATTTCGATTTGCCCTGGCTCAACAAGCAACAAGCTGCAGCCACAAGAACCGCAAGAGCTTTAGTAACTTTTGTATGACTTCACCTACCTCCGGCACAACCATTCTCACCTCAGTACTTGGGCTAAAGCGGGTTAAATGTTTTGTTTTGAGCCATGGCATGTGAAACGGTTATAGAAACAAGAAGGCTGGCCACAAACCACTGATTTTTTTGATCCCTCACCCATGGTAGAACGGAATATCGACCAAGAGAAGTAGGGTGACACTGTTTCCTGACCAACCCACGGTTTTGCACCAACCCACATGGCTCTGAGTCAAGACCCAGAGCTCCGTTGACCTGGGTCCCCCTGTGCCATGACCCACTGCCAAATGAAACCCCCATCCTTCCCAGCTTCCCCTTCAATGTCGTCCATGATTTTGCTCACCAAGGCAAACTTGCCAACGCAAAGCGACTCCAGCGCCTTCAGTAGCTTTCCGCGTTGCCCGGCGCACGAGCGATCTTGGATCATGGGATACTACATTACGTTAAATTTAGGTTTTGACACAACCAACAAGGTATAGAGTGAACGGCGTGCATGAGCATTGTGGAAGGACTTGCCCGCGTAGTTGCTTCATGATGAGTAAAAATGAATTTAAAATTGGCATGTGCTTCAGTAATATAGCTCCTTTGTCATTTGGGCCTAGTATGTTTGTTTGTGCTTCCATCATGCTTCCTTGGCTGATTTTAGGTTGTGTTAAGTAGTTCCTGTGCAGCAGCTTGATGGGAGGGCCACGTTGACCCAGCATGAGATTGGTAAAACCGAGGTAATGGATTGAAGACTTGCAAGGAATGGGGTGATCAAACTTTGTCGACAGCTCTAAACCCGGTGATCCAGAAGACGAAAGGTAAACTGGAATCCGTGCTGTCCTTGAACTTGAGCTCACCTTCCAGCACCATGTTTGTTCCTTTTTTGGCGGGGGTACCGTGGTGGTGATCTTGCGGGGATTTACTTCGTGCTTCCAAGGGATTCCCACGGCAAATGTAGACCTTGTACAACCTAGTCCTACCTGTTCTACCACAAGTCATACATCTGCCCCCATCGCCGAGGTTTCTCCCCCGAAGCACGGCTGAGTGAAGGCGTCGTTGCTTCTGACAAGGCGAGAGTCGAAAGAGGTTGAACATCTTGGGGGTTTGGTCTTTTACAGCCGGGACTTCGGCTTTTCTTCTGGTAATCCTTGAACAATTAGGATATCTACCAGGACCCCCAAGGGTTGGTTACACCCCTGAACAGCTAAGGGGCTACAAATAGACACCCCTTAGGGGATCCTGATAGAGTCATCATTGTTGAGAAAAACAGTGAGAAAGTGCAACACGTGGAGTGGGTGTCCAACCATCTTCCAACATGTTGTCCTTGGTCAGCCGAGGTCATTGGCCCGGGAGAGAGCTACAACATGCTAACTTGACTGTCCTCAGGTGTGCTCTTGGACCCTTCGTCCTTTGATGTCCTTTGGGTTGTGAAAGGGCGGAAGCGCCCTAAACCACTTTCAAGGTCCAACCCTAAGGACCAAGCTGGACAGCCAACCTCAAAACTCCCAAGGATCCGACCGAAAGCGCCCCCTTGGAGAGCTCGCGGGCCGGGCGGGGCGGTTTGCGGGTCCATCTCCGACCGCTCGGCGCGGTCAGGTCGATCAGCTCAGACGCTCCATCAGCTCCTTACAGGTTGGAGGGTCGAACCCAGGAGGATGGTCCGGGTCGCTCGGATCACTCGGGTCCCCGAACAGTTGGGAGTTCGGGGGAGTTGGACGGCCCACGAGCTTCCGATCCAAGAAGAGATGTTTCCCCAGACTTTTCGGGTCAAGCTGAGGGAGTGCTGTTTGGGGGAATTGCATGGAAGTGACGCTTCAAGCAGCGCCACATTCACGCCACATTGCTGTAACATGCTGTAAAACTGCACTAATTACGGACCACCACTGTGACCACCTACAAAGTTCTAGGTGCCCTTTGGGGTGCCGATGAATTTTGGCGGCTTCGGATGCCGTTTTGCCGGCCTGGTCTGAAAAGGCTTCACGGGTTTTTGTAATTTGTTCCTCAAACATTTCCAGGCACTCCATGGGACTGGGACTGGCATATTTACCGACATTGGGGGTGGTTTCAGGCGTCAATGTAGGCGTACATATTATCTCCCATACATCTGATCAGTGTTTGAGATTGGATGTTGGGAGACTTACGGATCATCAGATCCAAAAGACGTCACTTGGACGAAGCCTGTCACGAACAATCCGTATGAGTTTGCCACTGGCCCTGGGGGGACATCGGGCCTTCGTCACCTTAGTTGGATGAAGCAGAATGAGGGACACTGAGAGACGACATGTCGGGAAATCGGCCACCAGCACATATGGACGAAGATTGCACCATCGCCCGGCTTTATTTTGGGGGTGCTGAACTCCAAGTGGTGTTTTACAATAGGTATTGGAATATCCATGAATATCCCACACTCAATAAACAGCAGTTTTTGGTAATCAGTTGCATGCAGTTGCATATTCTAGCAACATGGTCGTTCTTGGCACATTCTTGCAATAAATAAATAAGAAACATGAAGGAACATTGTACCAAGATGGCGGCTTCATTTTCAGCGGTGGAACCGCTTCCTTCCTTGGACCTTCTCGCGTGTTCTTCCAAGAACGCATGCTGTCCGACGGTGCAGGCAGAGATGAAGCTCTCGCAAGAGCGCGAGATCGAGTTTGCCAGCTTGGCCTGGGGATTTTTTTGGGGGACAGCAAGCATAACCCGGTCCAAGTGAGAATACATGATGCAAATGACACTTTTTTGTTCTTCTCCGGGAGGCCCTAGTGAAGTCATACAATTTCAGACCTTTGAGAGAAGCGTCATTGAATGCAAGCCACTGCCTGTATTGATATTAGCAGGTCAAAAAGCGAACGAAGAGAACCGATCACTTCACCAGTGACACTGGATGCGCGGATGGTGGGGTGACGATCCAGAGTTGGCCACCCAGGCGCCCCAGTGCCGGGGCACTGGGCGTCGCCTTTGCTCGGGAGAGCCTGTCTGGGGCTGAGGATCGACATGAGAAGACGGTGGTTGAGCCTGGGATTTGGGGTGAATGGATGAGCAACTCACCTGAGACTCTCTCATGCCACGAAGCTGAGACGTGTTCTGGATTTCCAGAACCTTTGCAGAACACTGAGTCGGGGAATTTTGCAGGAATTTGGAGTACTTCTCAGGGGCCTTAGAGCATCGGACACCCTTCTGGCTACCATGTCACCAAAGCTGCAGCAAGGAAAAGCCATCGAAAACTTCGGGGAAAAAGAAGTTGATTGAACGATGTGGACGAGTTGTTGACCAGTTGAAGGCCCTGAGCAAATTCCAACCATCCCCATGCTATCCATGTGCTTGAGTTGTTTAGTTGGCTGTTGCTATAGTTGCTTTGGCCTTTGGACCTCCCCCATTTGGGTGTCCACACGATCAGACCCGGGCTGCTCCAGGTTGCCGGTGGCTGGCGGTAGCCATCCTGGCTCCCGTGGTCCGGGCAGTGCGGAAACGCAGATCCAAGCAGCGCGAGCCCGTGCGCTTTTGAAGATTGAAGCGACATGTCCCAGCATGCGCCTGGTGAAGCATTGCAAGACTGCACAGGTTCTTCACCTTGGACTCAGCCCACCTTTGGACCCAACTAGAGAGCAAACGGGTAAGAAACTGGGAGCCTATGCGCGGTCACTTTCAAGAACCTGTTGACCATGTCTATTGAGGGTGGATTCATCAAACTCCCCAAGCCAGATTCCAGATGCCAAGAACTGTTCTCGTTATTTTTGGTTCCCAAGAAAAACGGTGGAACTGGTCCTCACTCAGGTGAGCTGGTCTCAGCCGATTTGGCACCCTGGCCCTCCATCGCGCCAGCACCTGGGCTGGACATGGTTTCTTCGACATCACCTGCCCGTGGTGCTGGTGTGGGTGTCCACTAACAGACTTCCACCGCCTAGTCACCAGTCCAGCTTGGGGCCGTCGAATGTGAGCTTGGGGTGTAGGTGAGAACATGGAACGCATGACATGCCGTGCACGGTGCTTGGCATTTGAAGGCAGCACACCCAGCGCAGAGCGTTCGGTCGGCCACCACCTCGGAACCTGGGCAGTACGATCAACCATCCAAGAGGTGATTAGTGAAGTACCCATCACTTCAGATACTTCAGGATCTTCTGACGGTTTTCATTGGATGGTGCCTTTTTAAAGCATTGGATTTGCTGAGTTCTGATCTTCATCACGAGACTTTCTGATGCTCCAATTCCAGAGCTAAAGCAAAAACAAAACAACATCCAGAAGGAAAATCATTTTTCTCCAGAGAGCGATAGCTATGAGGTTCTACCATGTTCTACCTTCAAATAAGAATGAGCTGGCTGTGCGCACTTTCGAGAGGGTGTCGGTGTTGGTGCCGGCGCTGGGTGATGCTGGGTGCGGCGCTGCCAACATCATGCATGACGCATCTTGGGCCATGCTCAACCCTATCTTTGGCGGCCAAGTCTGAGCTCCAGGGTTTCGGAGGTGCCTACCCCTCTCCCAGCGAGTCCGATGGAGGCCAAGAACAAGGTGGAGTTGGATTCATGGCTGAAGGTCCGGTGGTGCGTCCGGTGCTGCCATCGAGTCCGGTGGCGGCATGGGGGGCCTGGAGGTGATGGCAGGGATGGCTGCTTTGTACAGCGAACGACGCGCTAAATTAAGAAGATGCGATCCAACATGCCACGACCAAGTCAGGTGACTCCGCCAAAAAATGTGCACTTGAAAAGAACATTTTTCTGAAGGGCCAAAACAACTTCTGGGGACCTCAAGACAGAGATTTGAGACCCCTGAACAGGCCCTGAACCCTCCAATGTAGAGTTTGTCATCTCCATTGTAAGGGTCACAACCCTCGTATTGGCAGATGTTCTTACATGTTGCTGCGGTGACTGCCAGGATTTGAGGTGGCGAGGTATCGAAGGTGGTCACCTTTTGTATCGATCACAGGATCGTCTCTTTTGAGCACGATTCTGTGATGCATCTATTTGGAGGCTGCCATTGAAATCCAGCAATGACTAAAGAACCAACAGTCAGATTGCTGTCGCACACTGGTGAGATCTGGTGAGACACTGAGCCTTTCCTTCCCCTCCATGATCTCCACAGCGGCAGGAGAAGGAACGGCAGGCACAAAAGATCAAGGAGGGGAGATGGAAAGCAGACCGATTTGATCAGTTTGCATTATATATATATATTTATATATTTATGTATTATATAGTAGTTTAAAGGACGTATCACCAGCCCAAACTTGTAGACATTATCTATACAGGGAACGTTATTAATTATTAATCGATCCGAGAAACTTCCACACATTACTTTCGGGCATTTACAATTAACATTGTGGATGTGCATGTGGAAACTCCAACCCAAGAGTGGACAGGCAACATCGCCCAACTCTGGACTGTAGGGGTGTAGGATGGCAGGTCACATAGGACGAATGAACATCTCCGCAACGGTTGGGTGCTGGGTTAGGTCTCAAGCCGCCAGCGCTTCGCTCGAACCCAGACACTCACTCTTTGGGACTGGGTTGATCATACCTGGATACCTTGGGTGGGGACTCAGGGTCGTAGGAAGGGGGCATACCAGTCCCATGGAGTGTCAATCAGGGTCACCTTCTTGGTGCAGACCTGTGGACTGGTCCAATGGTTTGCCCCTTCAGCCTTCGATCCATCGCCGATCTTTGAGCTACGAGCTGGCACATCGGCACTCCGCCGGTTCGGAGCAAGGACTTACTCCGCCGTGCGGAGTACGAATCGCATGCGTTTGAAGTACTGTCATGTTATGTCATAGCTTGGCCGAGACCAGAAGAAGAGCTAGTCAGCTCGGGGAGAACACGGCATGTGGAGGTTTCGAACAAAAACGCCCGAAGGTCTTGGCTGGCAGGTTAGTTGTAACATGTTGTAAAGTGGATGTTGGACCGTTGGACCATCGTGTTTAGAAAGTGGTTGATGGATGACCCATCAGCCTTTGCAGAGGTTGTTGCGAATTCGTTGGCTCCGTTGTATATATAGAGGAGCACGTGGAAGATATGGCCAAGGCGCAGCGGCGCGCAGAGGACTGGAGAGCCTTTTTTCCGGGAAACGAAGATGTTGAAATAGGTTGACGCCTGAAAACTTGCTTTGATATGCGGCGATCCAGGGTGAAGTGTGCTTGTATGGATAATCTGCGGCAGATGATAGACGGCCCACGTCCGCACCGACTCAATGTCCAAAGGTTGCCAACGTCCTAATATTTTGAGTATATCCTATTCCATTGTATTCCCTATAGTAACAGTGGATGGTTGAGTTGCAGGCCAAGCTCTAAAATAGTGAGACGATAATTATGTGAATCATCGACTCTTACAGGTAAGTTCGGACACCCCCAACCAATATCAACCCTTGGACATCCGCGACGAAGCCTTCGGAATGTGGTCCATTCATCCTGTGAGGATGTGGGGCGAAGCCTGCAGGGACAGCTAGATCTACTAGCAGAGTGAGAGGCCCAAGGCGGATCTGGCACACCTTGGAGTGTGGCTTGGCGGTGGGTGAGCCATGGTGAGTGGCTTGGCGGTGGGTGAGCCATGGTGAGCCATGCGAACACTTCTCTTTGAAATAGATCCACTAAGAGCAACCCCTAAAGAGGTGAGACAGATTAGATGATTTGACATGCCAGAAGTTCCAAAAGGGTGCCGAACTTGGAGGATTGGGGTGCGCAGTGGGGTGCCTACCAATAACACTCATTTCATTCAGGAACAATATTATATAATGCCCATTCCGATCAGGAACTGCTGGCGTAGATTTTCCGTCCGATCATCTTAGCGATGCGAGGCCAACCCCTCTCCGCACGCCCCGAGAGGAAAAAGACTTCAGAGTAATCAAGTCATTGGCCCTGAGGCTTCGCCGCCGCCCCAGAACTCCAAAGTAATCAACTCAAAAGCTAATTCCAAAACTCCAAAGTAATAAACACATTCCAAAGTAGTCATTATATAGTCCCAAACTCCAAAGCCCTGAGGCTTCGCCGCCGCTGCCGGGCCGCGGAGGCGGGCGGGCAGGGCATCGTTCTTGGTCGTTTCGGAAGGTGGGGTCGTCGTCTGCCCCGGTCTCAAAAAGTCTCACTCCAAACAGCATTGGCATTGAATACCAAAAGCATCCCAACAGATCCCAACAAATTTATATATCCCAAACCCTCCATGTATGCCATATATGCCTACATTGGGGTGGTTTGCGGGGTCAATGTCAACATAAAAATATATTGCAGTCCCATGGAGTGTCTGGGTATGCTTCCATGGGTGTTCCGGGTCTGTGGATGTGGATAGGGGATCTCATGCGGTCCTTGGGGACGCCCGGTCGACCGGGCGTTTCCGGTACTTCACCCTTCTTGGAGGACCAAGATCAAATGCCTAATATCATCATACCAGGACCCTACTCAGGACCCTGAATGGGGTGGTTAATGGACACCCCGAATCACAGCTAAGGGGCAATAAATAGACACCCCTTGGCCTTGGAGGGTCCTGGTACTATATCATACTGCATCCTTGATCAGAATAGTTGAAGTCATCCTATACTTAGAGTCTATCAATGCGGCCCAACCATCTACGGTCACCGGCAGTCAGGGGGACAGTTGCTCTGCAGTTTTGCTCAAAAAGCAGCCTGCTTACTTGAGAGCCGGCGCGCCCTTGCGTGAATCCGGCCATCATGGGGGCACAAAACTCATGTGCATCTGCTTGCACCTCAGGGGACAAGGCAGGACCGCATAAACATTGGGTCAGAATCACCGAAAAGGGGGCGACCATGACCAGGCTTTTCGTGAAGCCTCTCGGAGGGGTGATGATTTGGGTGCTATGGCTTCTTTCAACGGACGATCCCCCAAATATCACTGGCTGCCTCGAAAACGGCGATGCCGTCGATCGAAGTGACGGGAGCAGAATGGGGTTCGCACCTGAGCTGGAACCCCAGTCCCAACCAGAAACAGTTCTGGTTGCAATAGGGCGCCAGCTTGAGATCCTGTTCCATAGGAACGGCCTGGGACTGGGAAAACATCCATGGTCCATTGTGGTTGGGACATGTTGGGACTAGGTTTCCAGGCGTTCCCAAGGCATGGCTTCGGTGGAAGATGGGGAGCGAGGACCACTTGACCTCGGGGATGTTTGGTCAGGCCTTCGCATCCCAGTCTTGGAAGAGGTGAAGTGACGTCCTTGAAAGAGTTGGCTGCCTTTGAACGCCTCGCATTCTTCAACACCCCCAACATATATCCAAAGGTCCTCCTCTCCTCCACTCCCCCAGACCCGTCGAGACCCGAAGAGGACAGCCAGCTGATTTTCGACCTTCAAAGCGAGACGAGCCCCGTCTTCCAGCTCCCCTGGGACCCCCTCGACGTCCTCAGTGAGGACGCCGGTCTCGTGGTCTGCGTATGCGTTCGCCGGCGGTGGTCTCCACACACGCGGGTCTCGGAGAACCCCAATGCCATACGCGCGGGTGTGGGGTGTTGCTGGTGTGGGGTGAGTTGACTTCAAAGGGGGGCGTGAGTCACGTGAGGAGCTAAAGATTCATGAAACAGTTTGAACTATCATGAGACCTTTGGAAAAGGCCAAAGCTGCTGGAAAAGGCCAAAGCTGCTGGAAAAGGGGTTTGAAACCCCGGACACGTCGCTGAACCCAGCCAGCGGTCGACCGTGGCCCTGACCAGTGACCCTTGCGAGGATATTTTTGATGACAAGGTGCCGTTTCGCGTCGTTGCGCGCTGTGCTCCAGACACGTTGCTTTGCCCAAAATTCGGTGCTAAGCCTTGGTCATCAGCAAAGACAAGGGTGTTGTGGACAATTCCTCGCGAATCTAGAAGGTGTGTTGTGTTTTCTTTTTTTGTTGCAGGTTCCTGATCAGCAAATCCAAAGGGTTTGCACCGATGTTGATGGCTTTAGGGTCTTGGAATCGAGAAGCGCTGATAAGATAAGGCAACGATCTTTTGAGGCGTTCAATCACCTGCGCAGCACGAGCACAGAATGTTTTGGTCGACATCCAGAATCTATTAGACGGGTTTGAAAGCTTACCACCCCTCAGTTTTGCAGTTGAAAGCGTTGACACCCTTGCCATCCTAGTCATAGTCCTAGTCTTTGGATGTGTTTTCTTCGATACTATAGTGAGTTGAGAGTAGATGGCACAATCCCCAAGTTGGGTGGTTTAATCCCGAGTACCTATTAAAAAAAGCCTCCCCAATTAAAACAACACCACGTCCGAAACCCTAAATTTGGTTTATCACGAAAGCTAGCACCAGCTAGCTGGAGTTGTCCTTGCTTTAGCAAGTGAGGGGCTGGAATCCTCGGGATCGCCGCATCACGTGAAAACTTCATATGTAGGGGGGGGCCCCCCCCCC